GGTTTCTAATTTTAATATATAAAAATATTAAAGAATGTAAAAATATTAATTTTATTTATTATGGAATTTTATACAATAACATACAAATAATTTTATTAATAATAACAGTAATAATTGACGATTATATGTGTAATAAATAATAAAGTGTTGATTATATTGATGTTATTTGTTGGTAAAGCTTATTAATGGTAAAAATAATACCATTTGTTAAAAAATATTAATTACACCATTTTTATATACTCATTTATTTTCTATGATTTTTAATATGATTTTTAGATAATATATTATTTGTGACATTAAATTTGGTATTATTAAATTGTAAATAGTTGCTATGCAGTATAATATGAAATTCCTCTTCATATTCACTTGATGTCTTACTAAGTTTGAATGTTTATGTAATTACAACATAAAAGATATTCTTAAAATTTTATTGTATACAATTAAAAAATATTGAATCTATATTTTGAAGAGCATATAGCTACTTATGTATGTACTTTATCTGTTTAAAATATAATTGTTATAGGCCTGTTTCATAATTTTGTTAAATACTCAATAGGTAAAATGTATATTTCCAAAATACTTTGTAATTGTATTATTTTATATTTTGTTCTACCCGTATATTACAATTAAGAATTTGTTATGCATGCAAATGAATTCTGAAAAATAATCAAACATGATTTTACTTATTTGAAATTTCTTCCTAGACAACTTTAAGTTATTTCATTGGATGATTTTAATCAAACTATTGATTCCTGAATATATTTTTTCTTAAATTCTTAATTATTATAATTTTTATCACGTCAAAATAGATGCTTGGAGTACCTTGTGATAAAATTAAACTAAATTTAACTATATAAAATTCAGTTCACAGAAACACCAAATTAAATTTCGTTTTTAATGTTTATCTGAAATTTATGTTTTATATTCGTATATACATTTTTTTTAACAAATGGCTAACTACACAGGTAATTCTTCTATTCTACATACATTCATACATACATTAATATCTACATACATTCTTCTATACTACACCTTCTATTCGACAAAGGTTGTAAATATTATCCGATTATTTGCCATAGTATGAAATATTTTTCGACTAAATATTAACGTTATAATGACGAAATAACATTTTTTTTCTTTAAAAATATAGTGAATAGAATTAACTATATTATAGCAAAGTATATTTTAAACAATTAAATTTATAAAAACATATATTGATAAATAGTGAAGTATTTAAATATTGTTTTATTAACCAAGCTATTTAAAACTATTTCAAAATATAAATGAAAATAATGATATAGTTAGAATACAAACACGTAAGATTGTATTCAGTTATCTTCAAGTAATTGAAGTAATTAATAATATATTTTGAAACATATTATATTTTATTAGTTATAGAGATATTTAGTAAAAGAATGAACAAATAATTTGTGAATTAAATATAAATATTTTTTATGTAGCATAGTAGCGTTAATCGAGTAGTGAGAAACAATAAAAAAATTCTGTTACGTATATATATATATATATATATATATATATATATATATATATTATTATTATAAATTTAATCTTTTAAAATAATTTTTCTGACGGAATAAATAATTTCTAATCATTTATTTTATGCGCATAATTATTTTATTTTGTTATTATTTGTTGTCGACGTCATTGTCCTCGCTTTTCCTTTGTTGATATTCTTCTTTTTTTATTATTATTATCATAATTGCTATTTGTTTTGTAATTATTTTCCTTATTAAATTTGCAAAAAATGTTACAAAAACAAAAACATTAGTTTTTCAATTTTTAAATTGTTTTAAAGAATTAAATTTCATCGAAATATAAAACCAACATTAAAAGTGAGAGTATATAGTTACATCTGTTAATAAATTCTATATTTTTTTGCATGTATCATTCACAATTCACATGTTATAAAAATAGCAATATCAATGAACGTTCATAATTTATAATGAAGTACCTATTTCATAATGTATTTATTCTCTTATTTATACTTGTCAGTATATCATTATTTTTCTAGTTGCAGTAATTTTACTTATGAACAATCTACTTAAAATTATATAATAAATTGTAGTCTATCCGTTTTATAACATATTATAACCGAAATATATCTAAGCACGGGAAAAAACATAAACTATAACCTTCATTAACTTTAAAATTACAAAACTCTCTCCCATATTTATGTTAACTTTTTGTAGTAAGGACCAACTGAGTTTCTTAACCGTTGTATTTATGTTGATAATATTTTTGTATTAATACAGAGTTGGTTTTATATTTAGACACTGATTCTATTTATCACTAACTAGAGAAGATAAGAAAATGATCAGATAAATTATTTGAATAAAAGAATATTAAATTAAATTCAATCAATATAAAAGTAATTTGATGAAGAAAATTATTGTCAGACTACCACAATATTTATAAAATAATAACAAAAGCACGAAAAATCTAAATAAATGAAATATTTCGTAATTTAATAAATCCATCAATGTGGTTTTGCTGAATCAATTTCTGATTTCATTGTTAAATATTTTTCTTTTATAATGAATTATACGATACTCAAAAGTAGATCGCGATGCTTTTTATTTCATACTATTTATCTTTAATTGCGGAATCTAATAAGAAAAGTCACATTCTCTCATGATGAGTATTCATGAAGTTCACATTTCAATTAAAATATTCATCATTTTTCCGTACAAGTAATATACTCCTTTATTTGCAATTGTCAATTCATTATTTATTTTAAAATTTATACGTATCAACTGTTTATTTCCCTCCTTTATAGAATTATTGAAAATACATTAGTCATATTATCTAATTATTTTCAGTCACATTTTAAAGAAAAATAATATACTGAAACCGACGTCTATAACATGACATTTCTCTTTTTTAATCTGTTCTAGCTTATCGCTCAATCTCACATTTAACTATATGAAGAATGACACGATTTTTTAAAATGTTTTAACCCAATAATTTATATTATTTTTAACTAAATTATATTATGTATCTAAACATCAATTCATTTTTTATGTTTGTTTCGCAATATTTAGAAATTACGTTGAAGTAATTCATTATTATCTTATTCTCAATCTTATTAATTTAACATAATGTAGTATTATAATGGATTCTCTAACAATAAAACTATTTCTATAAAACTATGAAGTTTATATTTATATTATATAAAATTATATAAATATAAAATTACTATTAATAGTTTAGATTCTAAATGTAATTTCTATAAAAAATTATTAAATATCTTTCTATTAAGTTTATTAAGGAAAAGAATTTTTTTAATTTTATCATTGTTTCAATATAGTTTTAGCAATTTATTTTTCTCACATGCTTACCTTAAAATATAAAGTATTTCGCATTTCGCTTCATAATTTGCAATTACATATGATGATATCGAATTATAATATTGTAATCCAGGCATACGTCTGATTGTTTGAATTTGAATATTTAGACTTGTCTAATTGTAGTATCAATGTGTTCGCTTTTAAAACCTATGTCGAAATATCTCGATATTCCTATTGAAATTGAGAATATGAAAAGAAATTTGTAAAAAAAATGTACGATCCAACAAGATGAAATTATAATATTTATTCCTATTGTATTTTCATTTATCAATTCTTTTTAATATATTTTTTAAATTATAATATAATTACTTTTCAATTGGTATATTATGTTCTATACGTTATGATGGATAATTAAACATCTCATAAAATATTTTATTCTTACGAGTCCATAGTTAATAATTTAAATTGTTTATATTATTTGGAATTATCTAAATCTTCGTATTTTATTACATAGTAATAAATGAAGAATTACGGATATAGTTACGAATTAAGAGTTTTTCTTAGTTATTCGTTTATTAATATATTAGTCAATATATTTATCTTAAATATTTATATGTTCAAGAATTTAATAAATAATTTAATTTGAAAATTGTTTTTTTCTTTAGTTTATAATTTTTTCCCTAAGATTTCAATTGTGTATTTTGTCGAATTTTAATATAACTTTGTACATTCACATTCATTCTTAATATTTAGTTATTTAATAGTTATGCAATATTTAGTTATTCTCAAATGTTAAATTAAAAATTTTTTTTAATTTCTGCAAATAATATTTTTTTTGTTTCTTTTAATTCTTTATTCTAACAAGCCATTATATTATATTAAAAAATAATTGCAAAAGCAATTGATTCATATTTGTCAGATTACTATCACGATAAAAGTATTTCAGAATCATATTATCCACGAATTTAAGAAATGATTAAATAAGATTTGCTATACAGTTAGTTTCCTATCGGCCTACTAATTCGTTGATCTAGATGTTACAAATCTATCTATTGTTAACAATAAGAATACAGAAGAATTGTCATTATGTACTACCAATCACCTTTCTAGATACCTGTAGAATATATTTACAATACATTGGATACATATAAAATTATTTAATTATTATCTTATTATTTATAGATATTCTTATTAATAAAAATATAGTATGTTAATGAAATATAAATAATAATGTACTGATTAATTATTCACTGTCTGGCATGAAAACTGCGTTAAACTTTAAAATTACAGTATAATTATATAAGACAGATAACGTCACTGTTTCACTATTGCAATTACTCTTTTACTGAAATCAGAAAGAGTAATCAAGTTAGTCTTTTCAACAAGGATCATTTTAACAATTTAATTTTTGAATCATAGTGTTCCCAACTATGTAAACTATTAAATTGTCTTGACACTGGTTGATCGATCGTTTGAAAATATCGTAAATGTACCTTAATTAATCTTCATTGGCAAAATTAGGGTATCGCAATCAATTGCATGTACGCATGAGCTTTAGGAAAGTCGCACAACAATGCTGTATTCCAAGGCACCTCAAAATCAATCAATTCCGTCCTGTTATCGAATTAACTCTCTTTCATATTTATATCTCTTCATTTCAAATTATGAAAAAGTAAATATTTTTTGTTTCAGAATTTGGGGTGATTTTAAATGTACTCAGTATAATAAAGACAATATAAAAAATTTCGATTATTACAATAAAAATGGATAGATCTGAAAGGTTAGTATTATTTAATATACATGATAATTAACAAAATTAAAATGACAATACTCTTTATGTCAGTCAACAATTTTTATCTAATATACGCTTAGAATAATTAATTTTCTAACAAATTATTCAGCTTTAACGTATATCACTTTCTGTGATAGATTAATGTATACTCACAAAACTGTAGTTCAATGTTATTATCATACGTAGGACATATTATATCAATAAATACAAGTGAATAATTATATGGAAAAGGTATTTGAGAAGAATAGAATGTCTTATTCAGTGCCGATCTATTAGAATCATAAGATGACATTAACCATGCTTGCTATTACTGCATTCCTAGTTGCATTCAATAGACATTTTAATATACTGTACAGCAAAAAGCCACATGATACACTAATAATTATACTATACCCATTTTAACCACACGTGCCATTCTCTTTGATTATGCTGCATACTATCTTTATATCATACTGTTTTTTCTATTACCCTTCAATATTACCGCTGCCCCATCAAGTGATATCAGAAATATAATATAAGTTCATGTAAGATCATTAAGGTAGGCAGATGAGAGCTAATAAAAATTACAAGTAACAGAGAAAAATGTTGTATGTATAATAAATGAAGTTTTAAGACTGTTAATGTAGACCAAGAAGAATCTAAAAGGCATCGAGTGACAACCAAAATTCTAGTTGTATCGCAAAGGTACACAAGAATAACATACGCATCAAATGTCACTTGAAGGTGACCACTAAATTGAATTTTATAAGCAGATGAGCTATGAGAATTCAGTTTATCCAAATACGATAGTAAAAAACAAATTTTTATATTAAAAACGTGCTGTTTCAGTATATACGAAGAAAATATTATCCGAAGGCAGATAAAACGTTAATACAATTGAATGTAAAGTTGGCTACTTAAAATTGAGTAAAATATATGTAATACAAAATGATATTGAGACAGATCCCGACTAGGTGGCTATTTCTTTACGCGGTTTAAGTATCTCTTGAAAATGGTAAAAATGATGGTAATTAGAAATACCTCTTTTGTAATTTAAAATTGAAACTTTTTGTATGAGTCTGACTGATGAGATCAGTTAATCGATTTGAGATGAAAGATGTATAGTTTTTTTGAAAATATTTTCGTAATTTTTCATTCACTTATTTACTTCTTATATGCAGAGTCAAATAAACGTATATATATATATTCTTATTGTTTTTAGGTATCGAGAATCATCTGTATATAAAACATCGACAGTTTACAATTTTCGTAAAATTAGAGGTAATTGCAAATTACAAATTATTTATGTTTATGAAATTTGAATATAAACAATATAGATATATTTACATTTTATATTTTTTTAATTTAATAATTAAATAATAAAATTTAAGGAATTATAAAATAGAAGTATTCGAATAGTTATTGTTAAAGACTGTTATTAATATTGATGATTATTGAAATAATATAATAGCTAAATAATTAATAAAATTTTATTTTATGTTTCATGATGAAAGCAGATACGATTCCAGCTCGTGTAATACTATATATGCTTTCTTTTTCTGGTTTTGTTGTATCTTTTATGATGAGAATGGATATAAATATTGCAATGGTATCAATGGTAAATTATCAGCCGACTAATGTTTCGAATAACAATATTTCAATAACTACAATTTGTTATTCTAAATCCAATACCAGTTCACAGATATTTGAAGATAATGATTCGAAGGTATTAAGTATAGTGTTTCATTTATTTAATATTGTTCTAATAAAATTAAATAAAAATAAAAAAAAATTATTGACATTAATCATTCGAATGCACCAGTTATTTAATTTTTAGATTTACTTTCATGTTTATATAGAAATATTTTCATAATTAAATATAAATCAACAAGTCAAATAAAAAAGGAATAATTCATTTGATAACAAACTAGAAATTAATTAATTATTAATTAATTATTCTTTATATTCTTTTATAATTACAATTTATTTAAGTATCTCAAACATTTTGTGCGATTGACGTAAACGCTTGTCTTTGCTAATATTCTTTTTGATTAAAACTTTGTTGCTCTCCTTTCAAAAAAACTTTAATTTTTATTTTATTACGCTTTAGGCATAGGCTTTAAATTTTAGTTATTGCATTAAAGCTTTGTTTATGCAAATCCGGAATAAAATTGTTTAGGGAAAAATAAATTTTACTTATGAAATATGCTTAAATTTATGTTTTCATATTTCATATTTTCATTAGTTTTAATATTCAATAATACTAGTATTGAGAATTTTAATTACTTCGATAACATACATTATTCAATTGGTTGTTAATGTTCTATGTATAATTCATTAGGTATAATGGCTGTATTTTATTTTTATTTGTATAAGAAAATTAATTATATATATAACTAATTCGTGATTACTTATATTATTATTAAGTGAAATATAAGAAACGTATATTATTATTATTATTCATAAATAAAAATTATCTAGATAATAAGTCAATTTACAGTAACAGGTAATAACAATTTTATGAGAATTACATATCTTATTTTGTACTGATGCGTAATTTAAACGATATATGCACAAGTTTTCAAGATTAATTCAAATTTATCGACAAAAAGTATAATAAAGATAGAAAATTATGACATTCAATTGCGCATGCGAATCGTTAAGCGGTCACAAATAATCCAAACTTAAAAAATTCATATCGATTTTAAAATAAACATATTTTAATTATTTTTTAAATTATAATGAATAATAAATACAAATTATTAAATTACTTAATTAATAAGAAATTAAGATAAATATTAATTATTTCATTATTAATTTTTTCGCTTACTTATAATAAGTTTTTAGAGTTATAAATGATAAATAATATATGAAACAATGTTTTTGAAGCATTTTTAAAATTAAATAATTTTCCAAACAATTTTAATCTCAACTTAATATTAAATGTTTTCACTTTTAATATAATATAATAAATATAATAAAAATGTATACACAACATTTCATTAAAGTAATTTAATCATTGAACTACAGAAAATCATTATATTAGCAATAATTATTATGTGAAGCAAAAAAAAACAATAATCAATAAATTAAATTATACCTTATTTGATCAATTAAAATAATAGTTAGAAGGTATTGATCCATAACAAGCATTTAAATTAATATTTTTAATATTCTTATTTGTATTAATATTACTGATTTATAAAAAGATTGAAACTTTATTATAGACCGAAAAAGGAGAATTTAATTGGAGTCCGGCTATTCAATCTACAATAATTGGATCGTTTTATTGGTGCTACATTCTTTCACAAGTTGTTGGTGGAGTACTTACTCAATATTTTGGTACAAAAACCGTTTTTGGTGGATCGCAATTCCTAACTGCCATTTGCAGTTTACTAATACCAACTGCTGCTGAATGTCATTATGGTGCCATAATTGCCCTACGTAGTATTCAAGGCATCGCCAGTGTAAATATTTCAATTAGTTCCTCACTTATATACTCTCTCTATAATTAATATTGAAAACAATTTTCATTCATAACACATAACATTCAATTTTGTTTATCAATTTCTATCACTTTTATTGAAAAAATAATAAATAAGAATAAATGTTATACTAGTAAATTAATTTATAAATAGAAGTATATATTTTGAATTATTGTAAATTATGAATAAAACATTTATTGAATGCATATCAAATATATATGTAACATCGTAATAACGTAGGGACTAACATGGCCTGCTATGTATGCTATGGTTGGACATTGGATTCCTGTCGTAGAAAGATCTCGCTTCATGTCTTCCTTTCAAGGTAATTTATACTATATTAGACAATTTACATGTAGTAGAAATAACAATATGTTTTCATTTGTTACAGAGAAACTTCAATACTTAAATTATAACTATTTATTCTTTTTTTATAGAACTTTTCATTAAGTATTTAAAATATCATAATCTGTACGTGCACCTTACCTTTTTTAGAGTAATATTTACATTATTTCAGCTTAACGCTTAAAAATACTTTGAAGAAATAGGATAATAATTGACAATAAAGATAAAATTATAAATATAATAATAAAGATAGAAAATCTTAAATTAAAAAAAAATTATATTTTTTAAATTTAGGACAAATTGTTATAGATACAAATATTTAATGTTAATGAATGATTTATGATCGATTTTCTCATTTTATTATTATTATTATTATCATATATATATTCATCTATTTATTTACATATTTATTTATTTTATTTTATTGCATGTAAATGCATGTATGTGTAAACTTTTGAATACTGATATTTTCATGTAAGAACTATAAATTTTTTTAATCAATTTATATTTAAAAGAAAAAATTTATAAATTATAAATTATTATTAACAATCATTACTATTATTAATTACTATAATAATTTTTTATATTTTATATTTTTTAAATCCTTCAATTATTTAGAAATTATCGTTAATAATATTCATATTATTTATATATGATCTTTGCGCGCGTGTAAATCAACTATTTAACATTGATATTTTAATATAAAAAATTGCTATCTTGATAAATTTATATTTACAAAAATATATTATAACCAATTGCTAAAAATAAATTATATAAAATGTTGATAAAACATAATGAAATATAGGAAAAATGTAAGATTTTATTAATAACAAAAACTACACACTTAATATAACTTTTAATAAATAGTTATGTTTTTTTTTTAAATAATTTTATACAACTATTTTTAACCGCCATGCTTATATATATTTATTTATTTAAAATATTCGAAATTTATTCAAGCGAAAATTATTCAAAATATTAAATCTTAAAATATTTTATAATAAAGTATATCAAAACCTAAATTTGACAAAAATAATATAATGTAATATTATTTGAATAAAACTGTATTTACAATTAATAATTTAAATTGAGGATTGAAAAGTTTTAAAAGTAAATTTTTGAATCTTTTAAATCTCTATTTTTCAATATTTATTTGTATATTACTTTTCATTTGTGCAAAATTTTATTATTGATCAAATATACAATTTATGGTAGTTAAAAATTCCTTCAAGAACGATCAGGCAATTTTAATTTTGAGCACAGTCATTAATAAATATTTATTTGATTTATAATTCTTAATTATAATTATATTAATTTTAGAACGTACACATTAATAGTTTCATGCATTATAAAAATTAATACATTATACATTTATGTCTATCATTTATATTTATTTCAGCTTTTATACTCTATTAATTCATTATTATATTTGAAATGTTTTAAGTTATTTAGTTTTTTCTTTATTTAATTATTTATTTATAATTGTTATTTGTTATTATATTATTTATTATTTTTAATATAAGTCTTATGTAACATTTTATTTTTAACAATTTTATATTTTATTTATACGTCAATTAAAAAATTTTCATTACATAAAATTCGAAATTTCACTAGTTATTATAAAATAGATTACAAAGAATCATTTAGCTTATGTAAGTTATTTAAAAACTTGTATAATGCATATTTTCTTGTATATAAATTTTGTTATAAGTGGAAAGTGTCAGTACTTTTAATAATCATTTGCAAAATATAGTTTGATAACATAGAATTAATTTGTGTTCTTTTGTAATAATTAAATGGTATTTTAGGAATTCAACATCTTTATACATTGTAACATCACAAAAGGAGATCATAGAATGGAACTAATGTATATATATATATATATATATATATATATATATATATAATTCTCAGTAAAAATTGAAGTATATTTTCTTATATTTTTATTTGATCAATTTTACAATCACTTATAATTTATTAGCGCAGATCGAATACCAGCCAGACATCATGCCAGTGACAAAATTAATACGTTATGCAGATAACTAAAATGTAATACGATAAGATACACTCAATACGGACTTCTTAATAGCACGAGTAAAATTGGGTATATTTTATTATTTATTTTTGTTAAAAAAAAATATGTTTACTCGACTTATATCATTAAATAGAACAGTATAGAATTGTTCTTCTGATACTTATAAAATGTAAAGGACATATGTAGTTTCTCAAACTCGCATATTTAAAATTCAGTTATTGACTTATTCATATCGTTATATTATTTTTTTTAACTTTCAAAGCTTTCATTTATTATTAATTAATACATGCAGACTAAATATTATTTGATTATACAGTAGTAGACTAAAAATGATTATTTACGGGTATACAAATTTCATTATCCTCCTAACAATTCCATCAATATTTTATGTATTTTTATTTTCTTGATTTGATGGTAATATGAGTACCATTATTCTGTAATTTACTTTCAGACATTTTAACTTTATACATCTTTTCTATTTCCTAGTGATAATGTGTAGTTGATAAAATTATATATATATATATATCAAATATCAAATACATATATGTATATATATTTGATATTAAAGTTTTATAAGATACTATTTTTTACCATCTTTATACGATACCAAGGTAGTAAAAATTTATCAGAAGAAAAAATGAACAGCCTTAAACAATAATATATTCATTTTATAGATATATATAATTTTATAAACATATTTTTTAAACAAAAATGTCTATATTAAGAAAAATATTTAATAATAATGTATGCATAAGTTACATTTTGTCTTGAATAAAAATAATATTTACTTTATAAAATAATATTTTATTTTACATATGCATTAGTTTATATTTATCATATATTACAATATAATAATAATTTTTTTTAGAATAAATTCATTAGGTTTGTATGAAATAATAGTTTCATATATTTTGAATATATTTTATTTATACAATAAAAGTACTATTACATTTTTAAAAATTTTTAAAAATGATAAGGAATAAATATTTTTTTCAATTTTTCAGCTATTACTTTATATAAATTATATCCTTTATTTTATATGAAAATATTATAATTATGTTTGCTCATAATACTTTTATAATTTATATAATAATAGACATAACGATGAACATTTTAAAACCGCAAATTCAATCTTCCTATTTTTTCATTCTTTTAACCTGTTTAATTTAAAATACATCCCTATCGAAGTTTATAAAATGTAGCTTGAAAACTATATAATTCAGTAAAGATAACCAATATTTTAGTATATAAATTATTAATATCAAATATAAATTAATTAATTAAATTTAATAAATTTGAATAATCATTTGAATAAAATAATTTATAACAAACATTTAATAAATAGTATAATTTTTTAAATATTTATTGTAATGTCATGTAGAAAAGCAGTTACTGTACAGTTGGTATACGGATTTACAATTTTATAAGTTTAATCAACTATTTTTTAATTATTGTCTTTAAAAGTGGGATAATTTGTTTTAAGAAATTAAAATGTAAGTCATATATCGATAAAGTCTTAAAATATATATACATAAAGATATACATATATATCATTATTGAACTAGATTTATCGTTAGAATAAATTGAAAAATAATCATTGTACAACATTTTTATAAAAATAGTATATTTATTTTTTTTAATTTTACAATATAAATAAAATAAAATATAAATTGTAGTATTCAATGTATCTTTAGTAATTTGTATGTTTTACACATTTAAAATAATAATTGATTTAATTATTAATAATTTATTTCTAAAACAATTTATCACGTTTTTTGAAGTACATATTTTATTAAAAAGAATATATAATAAATAATGTACATGCTTAGTGACCCCCCCCCCCTTACTCGTCGTTTTTTCTGTTCCGCTCGCAAACATACGAGATGAACGAAAGGATATAAAAATGAGTCTTTCTAAATATATATATATATATATATAATGAAATATTGTAAATATTGCTTATAATTTTTGACGTCCGTGAAATGGTAATTAATAACCATTGTAAAAAACTAAGACATTTTATACATTGAACTGTATTATATTTAATTATTTATTTTTTAGTTTTTATTTTATGTAATAAAAAACTAAAAATTTTTCAAACCTTACACTTAATTTATAAATGAAAATTTATATCAAGAATATTTGAAAATTTGGTTTGATAAGTAATAATTAGATGATTATTCAAGGATTATTCAAATTAATTTTAACGAAATGAATTTTTCGAAAAAAATTAAATTATCGGATACACAGTGAAATAATTTAAAATAATGTAAATAGTGTTTAAAACATTATATTCTCGTAAAAATCATCTATGTATATATTAATTGTTCAAGTGGATACAGTCATATACATTTTTGTATCATTTAATGCAAATATAGAAACATCGTGTGAAACCTTTCACATATAAAATATTACTGGTTTGAGGAAAAAAATTAAAGAGTGGGCAGATCAAAAGAATAAAGAAAATAACAAAATACACTAATGTAGCCCTGTATAATTTTAAATGGCATTACAGAGTTCATACGAGTATTTGAGGATTCACTCTATCTTTCTATCTGTCAATCTGTCAATCATCCACAATACACATTCATCAACACTTAACGAACGTATAAGCGATTAAGTGAGCTGACGAACACCTGATTGGATCTTAAGCAGAGCTGAAAATCTGGAAACATATCACACGTTACTCATTACGTGTTATGCGACGTATGTCATACATAGGTTGTTCTGTTGATGTAGAGATGAAAGACTGGCGTGATTCGAATTCGTGGGATGAGCAGCCATCTCACATCTTAACGCCTAGGTATTCTTCTGTCATTCTACAGGGTTCAGCTTTGGTATCGGAATTACTTATCCTCTGGCTGGCTTTCTCATTGCTCACTTTGGATGGCGAGTTGTCTTCTATACTACTGGTAGCATCGGATTACTATGGTGTATCTTTTGGTACTTCTTTGCTTTTGATTTCCCGGCATCACACCCAAGGATATCCATCCAGGAGTTACAGTATATACAGGGTAGTATTGGGAATGCCGCCACCGATATTAGCGAGGTACGTGTTTATATAAATGCGTATTATTATAATCTTCTGCTTTATTTTATTAAAGTTCTCAAACAATTAATTTTATCTAAGTCTACATAATAAATCTATCATACAAGCATAATTGGTAAACAAAATTTTCTTTTTCCTTTAGTATTGACCTGCGGAATAGACGTCTAATACTTTGGAATGTCGAAATTGTAAATAAAATATATGTATCATACATTTAATTTTTTAATTCCATTGTTTGACATTTCTAAAGCTTTTAAAATTTTCAACTATATAAATGAATCATAATTATTTAAATGAATTTAAAAATTTTAACGTTGAAATTTTTTTCTAATAAAAATATAATGTATAATTTATATTATATTTACTGTATCGTCAATTATAAATTCATTTTTTCGAATTATTTTCGAATAATTCGTATAATATCGTAATTTAAAACAATATTTTAAAAATAGCTTAATTATTTAATTAATTAAATTCAATTTAATATTTTGAATATAATTGGCTATATTGAATAATATTGATTTATTATATTCGACTTAATAAATAAGATTTAAATGATTGATTTTAAAAAATTATAAATTAAACCGAACGACATTTAGCAATCAGGACAGTTACAAATATATACTTATATTTAAGTGTTCTAAATATTTAAAAATTTTATTTAATCACAAGTGCAAAATATTAAATTATGTAAAAAAATATATAAATAATATTATTTCATATATCTTGACATTATTTTAAGATAATAAAAATATTTAAATCTAAAAATTATCTTTAAATGAGGTATTGTTTAAATATAACTTTTATTAAAATATTAAAATCTTATCCTTTTTTGTATAATCTTATCCAGGTATTATTGAATTTTGAAAAGAATTGAATTTGACTGAAGTAGAATATACATCAATATTTTGATAAAAACTATCAGGCCAATTCATTATAATTAGAATAATATTTTACAGATTATGAAGATCAACTGATGAAAAAAGAAAAAAAAAGTTTAACCATAAATATTGTTTCTCAGGGAGTATCAGTTCCATGGAAATCAATTTTAACATCATGTCCTGCATGGTCGATAGGTATCACAACTTTTGGTAGAATTTGGGTTCACTATGTTTTCATTATTGCTGGACCTATGTATATAAAAACCGTTCTTGGTCTCAGTATTCAAGCTGTAAGTAGTATTTACATTTTAATTTGAGATTTATACACAATTTATATTTAAATTATTAATATGGCAATTGCTATTAAAATATAATTAATTTTATTATTAAATTATTTTTCATTTTAATGTTATAGAATGGTGTCCTTTCCGGTGCACCATTTATCTGCAGTTATTTTAGTTCGGTTATCTTCTGTTACATTGCCGATTTATTTGTTAGAAAGAAAATACTTTCACTTACAAATGTTCGAAAAATATTCACTGCAACATGTAAGTCAAATTAAAATTATGTTTTCTTAATTATACTATCAGATAATAAAGTAAAATTTTTAAATATTAATAATTATATGATAAGTATATGATAAAAGAATTATATGATAATATTATATGATAAAAGAATTCTAAATGTGTTTGCATTTTATAGCTCAAGTTATTCCTGGACTTTTAGTTTTACTTATTGGATATTTGGGATGTAATATTGTATTAGCTCTCACAGTGTGGTTTATAGCTGTAACATTAATTACTTCTGCATATGCTGGAGCTATGGCGAACATTGTTGATATTGCCCCTAATTTTGCAGGTAACGAATGTATTTTCATTTCATTTTATAATAAAACTTAACATTAAATAACATAATAAAATATTTTTATTAGGTCCTGTGCTAGCTTTTGCGCAAACTATTCACATGACAGCAAGTTTTTTATCTCCGATAGCAGCTGGCCTGCTCACCCAAGAGAGCGTGAGTTCTTTCAAGTTTAATGTTATAAATACATTTCTTATTATTATTATACATTTCTTAAATTTATTATACTTCACAGCTCTTTGATTTTTTAAATATTATTTAGTGGTTTGTAAATTAATAATTAATATGATTTTAGATGTCAATTAGTTATTCAAAATTATAAAAGAAAACAAGAGAGAAAATAAGAGTTTGTATTTCTTTAAAGAAAAATTTGATTTGATTGTTATGTAAGACGATTATTTAATGAATAATTTTATGTTATTGTTATGTTTATAAAAAATTATTTTTATTCTTTATTTTGTCTTTTTATTTTTAATAAAGATTGACTTTAATTTAAATGTTCTATATATCAATTAAATATTGTTTGTAATTATTCCAATTATAGTTTTTACTTAAATTTCAAAGAGATCTGTTAAATTATTTATAAATTAATAAAATATTGTCATAGTATAATGTATAGTAATGAAGTTGTGTTAAAGGAACATGTTTTAAGATTTAATATATAAATTATATTTGTGGTTAATAAGTGATGCATATACAGCAAACACTAGATGCTTGGAGAAAAGTATTTGGTGTGACAACTTGTGTTGCTTGTGGCACTTACATTGTCTACCAAATTTTTGGTACAGCAGACATCCAACCTTGGAATTATCCAGATCAGAAATATCCACAGTCTGTTACCGACGACTCTCAACCACTCAATGACTCACCGGCTCATAAAGCAACAATTATTATTAGGCGATCAAGCAATCATTCTGTTGATGTATAAAATGTCTATAATTTATTTACCTGAACTATTGGTAATTACTGAGATGAGTAAAACTGTCCTGTACTGCCATTTAATGCCTTTATATTGTGTTCTTCCATATCGCCATTTAATGATACGATTATTATAGATCTATTTTTCTTTGTTTATAATGAAAAGATAATGTATTATAATTGTGTTTAAAGTTCGAAACAAATGTTTATTTGTACATTATTATATATATTATACAGTAAAACAATTTTAATTATTAAAAAATAAATTTAGTTTTATAATTAAAATTAATAATCTGCAATAGTATCCTAAATATTATTAAAATCACTATTGATTATTAAAATTTATTATGCATATTACGTACTCAAAATATAGAATAGAGCATAAATTTTTGGTAAAAATTAAAAAAAAAGCAACAGTGTGATAAATACTATTTAATCTTGCAAATGTATATAAAACAAAGATTTTTATTCTATGCATCATGTTTTCATTCTACATAAATTGACTTTCTATCGCAAATATTCTATGCAAGATTTTTATAACAATATCTTTCTTTAAATTATGTAATATAATTTTTAGATTTATTAACAGTACACTAATTTATACTTAAATATATTACATAATAAGATGAATGTTAAGAACGATTTATTTTACTACAATTAAAATGTTTACTTCTATTATCATTGTTATTGTTAAGATTATTTTAAGTAACCATTTTAAAAATATAAATTTTCAAAATTAAAAAAATAAAAAATTAATTTATGTAACATTTAAAATTGCATGCTTTCTGTTGGTTTATATATATTGTGTGTGTGTGAGAGCGTTCGTGCGCGGGCTTATTAATCTATATGAACTAAGTAAAATTTTAGTCTGTTAACTAAATTAATTTACTTTTTTATTTTAAATGTATGACTTTAGATTTCACGTGTAATTTTTAGTAAAAATGTATATCTTGGCTTTATATATTTGGAAGGTTAATGTGTAAAAATAAATTATTTTTTAACAGAAGAACTAAATTTGCATTAAAATTTCTAAATTTAAACATATATATGAATACTTAAGTATTATTTCTTCAATTATATATTTTTGAAATATAAACATTAGTATTAAATGTAACATTTTTTTTTAAATAAACATCAATGCGTCATAAACACAAACATGTCAGTGCCTTATTATGATTCAGCTTATGAACCATAATAAATAAAAGTAGATGTCTTATATAATTAATAAATATAAAATTTCTATGATAATATAATGATATATAAATTGATAGATAATTTATTTATCAAAGTATATTTGTTTTAATAGATAATTTGAGTAAGCGCACGAAAGAAAGTTGTACTACTTTTTAGGTATATTGATTTGTGTCATATGATTAAAAGTTTTATGTATGATGAATAAACTAAGGAGTAAAGTTCTAATGTGTTTTTGTTAACTTCTTATTCTTAATTTATTCTTAACTTCTTATTATGTTGATCAAAATATTTAACATTATTATATTTAATTTTTAATAATTATTTTATTTTTAATAATAATAGCACTATTTTGTATATTTTATAATTTAAATGGAAAATTTTAATTTTATTGTATAGAATGTATTTAAATAATTTACAAACACATAATTTATTTAGAACAACAGAGAATTGAAAAAAACTTTGAAATGTCAATTAATACAATTTTGTTAATTTAATCGATTTTATAAATATTTATTAAAATAACATAATTTCTATATAACTATTTAAAAATATCGTAATGTAAAAATTTAACTTAAAATATTTTACGCGCTTGATACTTCAGATTTTATCAAACATAATATATTGAAATCAACGATTGAATCAGATATTGACATTCTAAAAAGAGAAGTTACTATTATACCAAAAATAGTCTACGATCGAAGTTTCTGTAAATCGTATTTTCCTGATATCGTTGAGCTAAAATCTATTCAAGTTGAAACATACAGTAATCTTTTCCATCCAATCGATTTTCCATTTTATCGTGCCACAATAGTAATTCAAGTTTGAGAAGATGTTTATGAAATTGAGTTTGGCAGTATTTATCGGATATTTTCAATATTTTTAGAGTATCATAAATTTTCAAACATTAAGTAGAGAAATGAGAAACCAACTTTGAATATAAGATTCTTATTTACATATAAACTATTCATATTGGCATTTATAATTTATTATTTCATTTAATTAAAAGTATATAGCGAGTAAAAATATGTATATATTTATGTAAGGACCCTTTGAAAAAAATATTTATTAAATATAATATACTTATAAAATTATAAACATTCAGTCACTATAGTACAAAATTACTGTAAAAAATTATTTTTATATAAGTGTTAAAATAAAATAAAAACGTAAATAGGAAAGCTAATTTGTAATACGCTTTATTCATTCATACATTGATACATCTGAAATTTTATTGAGTACGCAAAAAATCTACATAATATTGAAAAAACAATTAAAAAGTGATATATTCATCTTTAACTCATATTATTCAAATTTATCTCAGTATGATATTCAGTTGCACTTTCTAAGGGTATGAGTATACTTTACGAATTATATATATGTATATATAAATTAATATACCATAAATACATTCGTTATATTTACTTAATCGAAATCGAATAAAATAATTAATACTATAATGTAAATAACTTTCTTAATTAACTGATATAAAATTTTTTAATAAATTCTTAACATTTATAAATGTAACTTTTACAAACATCAACAATAAACATAATAATAAATATATTAATACCACGTTTTATAAATAATTTTTTCATTTGAAACATTTTTATTTACAATTATTTCACATATTAAAAAACGTACTACATTTTTGTTTTATATCAGATTGTATGGAAGATTAAATTTGTAAAATATTATACTGTACGAGAGCTCTACTAAATAATTTCACGATCTCTTCTTTCTAATTAATTTTCAATCATTTTTAGTAAATTAAAATAAAAAATTCTATGTTATAAATAGGGAAAAATATTCAAAAGATTAATAAAATGAGTTCTGTACAAATTAATATTTACTATATAAATAAATTTAATTAAATAACGTTTACAAATCTTAATGTAGCTATAGTTTTGTAATAGTAACAATGATTTATACATTGTATTTGAAGATCTATTATTAAATCTAGCAAATATAAACAATATGAATGTATTGGTAATTCTAGCAAAAGAAATTCCCAGTTTCGTTCACCCAACAATAATAAATTATTACTGTAAAAAATATATTTGGTGATGAATTTTTAACAAATCATAAAAATACTTTATTACAAAGTATTTGTAAATAAGAAAATATATTTTGCAGCCAGTTAATGTTTCGAGAGAATCTTTGGTTCAAAAAAGAACATGGACAAATAGAATTACGTTGTTTTTACAACAATATCGAATGAATGTAAACTTCAACTATAGAATAATATGGTTCAAATGTATTTTATTGTATATCAACAAAAATATCCGTCAAGAACCTGTATTAATGAAAATGCCTTTGAGGGAATGGCTGATAAAAGTTTAAATTATGCAATTTTCCGTTTATTGTGTGATGATGAACTGTATCAATTTTCTCATATTTAATCATCTTTTACGTCATAATCTTAATAAATCATTAAATTTTATAAATAGAAGTTTTTGTCTTATTTTTTGCGTATAATTTTTTTAATAATATGTTTAATAAAAGATTATATTATTTATCTTTAATAATGTGTTTTCAACAAATGACCACTTAATATCAACAATTTTTTTATTATCTATGCCTTTATTTATATAAATTTTAGTTAGCAAAAAATAAAGCTGATCAAAGCTGATTGTACATTCAGTTAGCTTATAAACTATTTTTTTACTCCGTTATGTACATTTGGCTGACTAGTCAAATTGTGGGATTATTTTCCGAACAACAATAATTCCAAATTATAAACAAAAATAGATTAATATAACTACCGTTTTATGAATTAATATGTGGACAAAATGATTATTCACCATTTATTATACTGTTTAAAAATATTACCTTGTTTAAACATCAGGCTTAATTTAGGTATGGACATATTATAATTAAAAAATTTTTATAACAGTGTCTGATAATATTTTAAAGATTTTGTTAGGTAGTTTTTGTATGTAGATTCCGTTAAACTACCGAAATTAGATATAAAAACAAAAATTGTTACAGATAAGAATGCTTTACTGCAATCCCTCCAATGCCTTAAAAATATTCATAATTTTATTGTTAGATATACTTTATCTTAGATCTAATAAATCAATTAACTAACAATTAAATATTATTTATAATTATACTTTATTCAAATAATATCTTGTTAAATTTATCGGAACTTTTCTGCTAGCTATTAGAGCTTTTTTTTTTATTTTAAACTAAATATCGAATTCGAATTTTTTAGCAAATATAATCAATGGATCCTAAACAGATACAAATTTGCTAGGCTGAATTTTTCTTCAACGATTTTACGTATATTCGCACCTTCAAACATTCAAATATTCTGATCAAAGATTCGATAGTTGGAATTCTGATAATTTATAGATACTTTATATTAAGTTAATGATCTTGCACCAAGAATAACTTTCTATTGCTTACCAACATTAATTTTACATTATATTAAATATAAGATCTTAATTTATTACCTCGCAATATTGAGATTGCATATGTGGTTACTATGATTTTCCGGAAATGTTGAGTAAATATTTATTTCCCTCCACCCTCCCCCTCTTCATTGATCGATCAATAAAATAGTGAAATACTGTATTTGTCATCTTTCCTTTTTGCATTAATTATGAGTTAAATGATTAAAATTTGATTATGCATTCAAGAATTTATGGAGTTAGAATTAAAAGTAATGTTAATAAGGAAAATGAAGAAAATGATAATGAAAGATTTTGAGGCAACTATGATTGAGGATAAAACTTAAGAATATAACAATGGGCAAAGTCTGCTTACAAACAAGTGGCTTTCATAAGAAGAATTTCACGCTTCTGCACGGCAGACGCAACTACAATCAGATGCATAAATCCATTGTGTATTTCGCGTAATTGTTGTAAAATGAAAGGTCTATTCAGCGTAAAAGATTATTATCCATACTATTTACAATTAGTAAGTTTGAGAATGCAGAATGAATTACAAGATAATGGTGATTTTTTCTTAGTTAAACAACTTGCAATCGTGCTAAAATAAGCTGCATTGACCTACGTAAGCAGATATAATATATACCTATTATAAGCATATAAATAATTGTCTATTGTTCTTACATACTGAAAAAGATGTCAAAGATAAATTGTATATATAAAGTGCACAAAATTAAAATACTAACATACAAAGATAATATTTTATTGCTTGAATTTGTCGATTACAGCTTGTTTTTTAGTTAATTACAATGCAATTCATAAAGTTAATAGCTGGATTTAGAATAAGAGGCGGCACGATAATGATCCTCTTCTGGATGGGCGGCATTGTAGGCGAGGGCACGTTGTATAGCCACAGGTATAGGTGGAGGCGTGGGCAAGTGGGCGCCGCGCGCCTGAAAACCGTTTTCATCGGCAACATAAGTTACAAGAATGGGGCTACCATCCGGAGCCGTATAACTGTATTGGCCCTGCACGACCTCTACTTGATGACCCTTTTTCGAGGATCTACCTTGCTCTGACACTGAGATACCATTCTCCGTATCATAACTACAATAAAAAAAAGCATTGAGTTCCAAGCAACCTCTTTGAGCAAATCATTCAATTATAATATTTATTTATTAAAAAGATTCTTATCGTTAAAATCGTATAAATGTATTACTTATGTTTTACTTAATAATTTTAATAAATAAGTGATCTACTCAACAACTCGACTGCTGTACTATACATAATAAACTTTTTATATTGATCTTATAACTTTTGAAGGATTTTCTCCTAATTTCAGAGTTAACTAAAGTAAATTAATCGTTATTAGTACTATATATATTAAAGAAATAATAATTTGTTTTATCAACTTTTATCAATGTTTATAATAAGAACTATGAGTTTGGCGTTTTTTTTTTAACAATGTTAAAATATTTATACTATCAAAATGTACGACAATAGTTTTAATTTACATACATCAAAAGTTATAACATTTGTCTATCGCGACATTTTATTATATTTCAATAGCCTACTATATTACAGATATTCATGAAATAATGCAATATATGGGTTTGGTAAATGCATACAAACATTCAGAAAAATATAATTCGAAAATAATAAGATTAGAATAATAGCTAAAAAGAGATAAATAGTAATAATATCATTTTTGAAAGCATTTTTAAATATTTATCTTCCAAACAATACCAATTATACTTAGAAGTAGCGAAATTGAAATAGATATAGATTCTTCATTCATAGGGTATGCCTTAGATAAATGTCCATTCTGATATAGCTTATAATAATTCTACATTTTTACATTTAGTTTCATTATATTCCATGCATATTATATTTTTAAATAAATAATAATAGTAGAACAAGTGTATATCGACGATTTTAATTAATTATTTATAAGAATATTAAAAAAAAATGTATATATATACGGGAATGCATATGATAATCGTGCACTTGCTCGTAGGTGTCTATGAAGAAAATATATTTAAAACAATTTATTATTTAAAGTATATGTAGATATTTATATTACAAATAATGTGTATTAAAGAAATGTATAAGTATGCAAAGTCTTAAAAAACGTTAATTTTTAATAAAATGATAATGATTTATTACAACATTTATGAATTATGATTTGATATGAAGTAGATTGACACTATGTTTTTTAAATATGTTGCTAAATAATAGTACGTGCATATTTATTATTCATATTTATAAAATTAGAATGAAATATATAAAACTTTATTTAAAATATTATTACTTTTCCATAAATAAAAGTAGAGTTCTTTCAAACTCTTTTATTTTTTAATTTTATATTTCCTTTTATTTAAATTTCAGGTAATTATTATTAATATTTTCAAACGAACATTTGAAATCATAAAACAAGTATTACTTCTCTTTCTCTACTTTAATAGTAAATTTTAAACTATAATAAAAGTTTTAATGAAATTATTAAATTTTATTAAATTCTTGAGATATTTAAAAAAATATTTTCAGTAATGAAATATATTTCATAGAAAAGTATATATTCTGTAATCAATTATTTCACTTTAAAATAGTGAACATTTATGTTATTTATAATTAAATAATTCTTATTAATAATAATGTAAAAATAATTTTGTCTTTTTTAATATACATAGTTTTAATTATAATTAAATGTTATAATTTACAAAACAAAATAATATTTATATAAATGAGTTATTGCTACTAAAACAAAATCTTTCTATAACAAAATCTTTCTTACCTATATAGATATGAACCATCGACATTTTGTTCGTGGTTTTGGCGTAATATTGCGTAGCGTCTTCCATAATAATTTGAATTATAGCGAGGGTGAGGATTATATAGTGATTGAGCATAAATCACACTTAAGAAAATAAAGAGTAAAACCTAAGAAGGCAAAATAATATTAATATTACAATGCATAATAGAATTTCATTCAATAGAATTAATATATTTCAATAATGTCATTTATTGTTATTTTACAATAAATTATATGAATTTATTTCAAATAATGGGTACAATCATTGAAAAACCTTTAAGCAAAAAATATACTATTGTAATTCTTAAAATATTTCTGTATTTATTCAATATTTTTATTACTTGCAACATTAATTTCATAAGAAAATTGTTAATATAAATATAAATCTAATTTTTTAATCTAAAATGTGTATAAATTATAAATTTTAATAAATTTTAAAAATAAAATAATGAGTGATTAAAACAGACTCGTCTTTTATATATGCTTTGAATTTTATTTCAATATGTAATAAATATTATTTCAATAATTCACCTACATTTTCTTTTATGTATTCGTTAATAATATACATAATAAAATCTAATATAATTTATTGCTAAACAATATTATATTTCTTAATACATTTAGTACTTTTATTTAAGACATTAAAGATAAACAAAGAGATTATTAAATATTACGACTTTTTGTAACTTAACAATACAAGTATATCAATCTTTTATTATAAAATTATGCTTTATAGTGGTCTGCAAAAATATAGTGATTTTATTAATAACATTTAAATTGTGGTATTCAAAGTTCATTTAGAAATAATATATGTAAACTCACAAGAATAACCATTATCTTCATGTTTTCTACACGTCGACAAAATACCTTAATATTCTATATATTTTTTGAAAAAAAAAAAATTAAAAACTGTTAATTTTCATTTACTAATGCCAAAATTGTGATTACTTCCTTCTATGATACACTCAAATTAAATAACTTACAACACTGAAGATGTATTATGTTGTCTGGCATTCTTACGCGAATTTATACGCATGAAGTTGTACAAAGAGGGCATCTGCTTTAGAGAGGGGATGATCTACCGAATAACAATGTGGAATACAAATAATAACTATAATCACAATCTATCAACTGTTTCTAAACATAGGTATTTTACTCTCCCATTTATCCCTTCCATCTATTAACTCCCACTCACTATTTCACCCCCTCCCGTAACAGTTAATATCCCCTCCCTCTCCACCCTACCCTCTCGCACCTTATATATATATATATATATAAGATATTTAAAGATTTGAAATAAAATCTATATAATTCATATTTATGTCTAAAATATTAAGATTATAACGATCTAAATAAAACTTGTATAAAAGAAATAATGTCCTTAGAACAATTTCTAAGGAGCACTTTTGCACTTACGGTACATCTTTCGTTTCTAAATTGAATAAACAGGAATTAAAAGCGAGAATGGAAATGAAATTTTAATTTAATACTTTTATATAATTTTATTTAAAATATTCATTTATTATTGAGTATAAAGTATTTCAACTATTAGATTTAAATAAGACATACTTAAAACTATAATCAAATTATTAAAAAATCTCTAAAATGTATAAATTAAATTAATAAAATCAAATTTTTTAAATAAAGATAGTAAATAATTTTAAATAAATGATGTTATCAACAATTTTCATATTTATGCAAAAATTTTATCAACTTAATTAAATATTTAAAATTAAAAATAGAAATATTCACGAATATGTAGAATCTTATTAATGAAAATAGAATATAATCACCATTATTACATTGCATTAATAATTCATGTAAAGACGCAAATTGATATTACATACATGTTACAATACTTCCAACCATGCTCTCTCTCTCTCTCTCTCTCTATCTATCTCTCTTTCTCTCTCTTTCTATTTCATAAATATACTTTTTTATCGTGTGCTTATACTCGATATGTGTATTTGTGTGTTCGTGAAGACGATTCCTAATTCACTCTTGCCTTCACACTTATCTATTATATACCTATATATTGTTTAAATACTTATGTTTTGTTTCACAAACTTCAAGTTTTAAAAATCAATAATTCAAAATTTTTGTACAAAAAATTCATAAAATCAACTATACATATACCTTCAAATTATATATTAATATTATTTATTCATTTATTATATAAATAAATCAAAATAAAATATTTATATATGTATATATATATAGATATATTAAGTATTTTAATTTAAAATAAAAAAGAAAAATATAGTATGTCTCAATTTCCATCAGTTTTTGAAAATCCCTTAGTTGAAGGAAATCTAAATAATTTACAACTTCCTCAATCAAATTATACTCAAATGGAACAACGGAAACTAATTGGATTCAATAATCAGCAGAGTAATGAATTGAAATATTAATTATTTTTTTGTATACTGCATAGTATATGAAGTTATCTAATAAAGTATTTATGAATTTACTAGTAAGATAACAAGCAGTTCATTTTATAAACGTTTATATAAAAAACTTTGTTAGATTTTAATTTATGTTTTATACTATTTTTAAAAAAATGTGACGAGGTTATACATTAATTTTTTCTAATTAAAATAAACATCTATACTTTTTATGAACTTTAGTGAAAAACATTTCAAATAATTTAACATAAATATAGAATATGGATATTACAAAAAGTTTTTATAAAATAAGAATTATAAATTAAGAAATTTTTAACCATATTATTTAATTTATTAATTTTGTTAGATAGTATTACTATATATTGTAATCTGAATAATATAATACAAGTATTTCACTTTGTATCAAATTTTTTTAAATGTAATTTTGTATATAAACTGTAGAACAGCAAATACATATTTTTATTTAAATAATTCACAAAGTTAAATAATTCACATATTTATAAGTTGTGAAATTTAATAATAAATTTATTTGTTTTTTTCATTCTATTAATATTACAATAATATCTGTTAAAATTTTATAATAAAATAAAAGTATTTAAATGATTAAAATTTGATTTAAAAATTGATTCAATTTGATTTTTAAATAATAAATTATGCCACAGTATTATTAAAATACCATCTAACTAATGTTATGTATGGGAAAACGAAATTAATAATTTGAAGTGATCTTTCAATTGTAGGTAATAATATCTGTCAACAACTTAGAAACGGACAAAGTAATTATGGACTTACAACGAACAATTTATACAACAATAATCAACAGCAGCTACAACAACAACAGCAACAGCAACATCAGCAACAGCAGCTACAACAACAGCAACAGCAGCAGCAGCAGCTACAACAACAACAGCAACAGCATCTACAACAACAAGAACAGCAACAGCAACAGCAGCAACAACCAATGATTGATTCATATTTATCGGCTAATCCGTATTTGTCACCGTTGTATCATAATAATTACTGCTTAGCTGGATCGGAAAAGCAAGCACCACAAACGCATCTTATGTCGATGGGACAACGATACAGTTCCTTACCACCAATCACGTTAGACCAAATCAGATCATGCACAACTACTTCATCACCTATCTTTATTTTACCAAATGGAATATCAAATAGCAATCAACTTCCTGCTTATCCAATGCCATTTCTTTCACCTACATGCATTCCCTATTCAATGCCTTTACCTATTTATCAACCCTCTGGTAAGATATATATATATATATATATATATATATATATGTTACATATATGCTCTTTTTTAATATGAGAATTATGATTAATAAATATAACAGCGAAAAATTTCAATACAATGAACAAAGTATTTCATAATATTTATAGAATAAAAATTATGCCACTAATTATAAAAATCAATTAATTAATATATAAATATAATTTTATTATTTCATATAAACAATAATATAAGTTTAAAGGTATAATAATATAAGGCATAAAAAGTCATGTTATAAACATGCTTAACTATTTTTACGATTACGATTACTTAACTATTTTTTTGAATTAATATAAAAATATATAATTAATATTTAAATTCGCAGTTAACTTTAAATATGAACTATTCTTATATAGTTATGTAAAAATATCGATGTGATTATATGTTGATTATTAATACTTAAGAAAATATATTTAATTTAATTATAAATTAAATTAAAATTAATAAAATTATAAATTACTTTTTTAATCATTATAATAAATATAAATATAATTTATTCAAGTATCTTATAATCCATAAATGCCACGTTATATCTTCTTCTTAAGATTCAATGTTGTGTTTACATAGAGATCCTTTTTTCTAAAGCAATGTGAAAACTAGAACACATTGTTACGAATATACTATTTTAGTTAAATTAGTAACAGTATTTTTACTTTAAGGTCTTACAAAAGTTCAATCTTGACTTAATTAAGACGAATTCAATTAATCAGTACATACATTAAAATTCTTTATGATAATTTCGTTGAAATATAAATAGTTAAATATTATAATTTATAATATTTTTTAATAATATAACAAATATTTGTTGGAATCGAAGTATAATTATTTATATTAATGAATAAAATTTTGATTATGTTATTTTTGTCGTGATTGTAAGTCGAGTATCGTTAATTTAACACTTTATTTAAATTTTTATTTCAATTTTTTAATTTTATTTTTAATATGTATATATATATATTTTACATAAATAAATTATTGATAAAAATTTTGAAAATATTGATATATAATATTTTCGTTTATTCTAACTTAGCCAATGCAAGCACAAAATTTTACAGCGTTATTAATATAAAAATGTTTACTTAATTTAAATTTCATAAGTTGTTTATGGTATTTTCATATGATAAATTTTATACAATATAAAATATGATTTTAATGAAACAACAAAATATATTTGTATAATCGTAAATTCAATTTCTTTTGTATTTTATACTTGAACTTTCACTCAAGGACTAATAATTTTTCGATGTTTGTCAATTTTAGTGTATATTATTTAATTATGAATTTAAAAGTTATTAATAAAATTTCTTTCACTATTTTTATACTGAAATAGAACTAAACCTCAGCGATTAAATTACCTTGCATAAAAATTCAGAGATGACATACCGGCATATTTGAATGTCAATTATTGCTTCGAGCTTAATAAAAAAAATTATATTTTTTTTAACTCTTTCTTATTTACAGTTACCTTCATTTGTATTACTTTTTGTATCCTATTGTATATACTAAAAAACGATAAGATTAAATATTTATGAATTTTAATACATATCAATAATTTTTCAATGTGTATGTATAAATCGAACAATAAAATCATGATTTAGCCATTTTTCGGTTTACATTCGATTAGAAAAGAGAAAGAATTGGTATTCATATTGCATTCAACATAATCTTTCTCTCTCTCTCCCTCTCTCTCTCTCTCAAGTTTCTATTTTATTTCTTCCATTCCTCTTATTTTTCAATTTTTTTTTATACATTTTAATCACTAAGTCATATAATTATTGCATATTTTATATATTCGTTTTCGTATTCAAGAAAGAAAAAGAAATACGTTCAATGCAATTGTGCAGTAACAAAGTATAATTGAGAAAAAATGATACAATTAAAAAAAAAAGTATATTGATTAAAAATAAATTATTATACATTCTGAAAATTTAAAAATTTATTTACATACTAAATTAGAAATCTCGCAGTAATAAGAAAAATTAAAAAATTAAATAAATCTTATGATAACGAGAATTAGACTGGAGATCTAATCTAAAAATAAAATAATTAAATATTGGGTATTCAATCGAATGATAGAATTTTGCATTTGTGAGATCGTCGTAGTATTTCACAAGAGGAATAAATAGAAGAGTACACATTTCCTTATTCTCTAAATGAAATATTTATTTGTAATAGGATTCAATAAATTAAATTTATTAAAATTTACACGATGCAAGCAATTTCAATAACAAATATTATGCTACATCATATAAAAAAGTTTTAAAATATAAAATAAAATAAAAATTCTATTTAATCTATTAAAAAAATATATTATTAAAAGATATTATATTTAGATTGAGATTAGAATAATTTATGATGATAAAAAACGATAAATTTTTATTTATTTTGATCATTTTAAGATGTAATTTATGATATTAATTAATTTTCATAAATAAAATAATTTCTGTTAAATGTTAATCAACAAAAATTAATCTTCATAATTAAAAAGAATTGAAATCAAAAGAATGTGAATGCAAGTGTGCATTTAACAAAACAAGAAATTGTTTAAATGGAACTTTTGAAAAACATGAAAATGATGGAGCAATTTCCAAAATTGAAAATAATCGTGAATTTAGTACAAAATATTGCTATAAACAAAATATCGAAGATGTATGTTCAAATCAAAACTGCTTGGCATCAATTCAATTGCAAGCAATAATTTCACAGTTACTTGGGATTCACGGAATAATTTCTTCCACCATAATACGTCTATTACTAAAAAAAATCCCAAGCACTAATATAAGTGATTCCGCAGAAGAGATAATGCAGTGTGCAGCAAGGTATATATATCATTACATAATAAATTAAATTTTGTATGAATAAAATTAATTGATTGATTTAGAATAATAAGACAGCTACCAAAGGATCAGTTGCTCAAAGAGTCAAAAAGTTGTCAGGAAGTGAATGGATTACTTCGACTTTATTTAACATCTTCAACGATAATTGCAAGAATAATACCGATTCTAACGAGTGTTCAATTGAAAAGCAATATTCTTAAGGCTCTTATCGATAATCTAATTAATGCACGAATTATGGATGATCAAGGTTTTGGAGCCGAAAATCCGGAACCATTGGATGTACTATATTTAGAACTTAAAAGTGATGATGAATTAAGACAACTGTTATCCATTTTGAGAGAGAAGGAATGTCAGGAACGAGTAAATCTTAGTTTTGCAGTCTACAAATCGCAAAGTCTAATAATGGAGTCGAGGTTAACGAATATCCAAAGAAAGATTGCACAACTTGAACAGGAAATGGATAGAAGACATAGTAACATTACTGTAATTCATGACTGTTCTTAGTATATCCACAATAAATCTACTCTACAAATTTCTTTTACAATTACCTAAATGTTAAAGTCGAAAATCAGATTCGTGTAGATAATTTTTTATTAAGTTTAAGGAATTGTACTTCATCAACAGTCAAAAAAATAAGGTGCATACTTTAAATTCAAATAAGAATTAGAATTAAAATCCATAAACGTTATGTTTAAAATAGAGAAATAATTTAAATGTAAATAAATATAAGAAGATTTTGCCAATGTTCAATGCAAATATACAATAATAATTTATTATATTTACTTTTAATAAAAAATGCATATATTGTAAATTTTATTTTTTCATTATTGACATACTTAAACTTAATTATTTGCTTAAATAATCCCAATAATACATAAACAACTAACAAAAGTATTTAAAATGTAAAATACAACTTTTTATTAAATACAACTTATATTATTTTAACGGTTAAAAAGAAATATTTTTTTTAATATTCCCCAATTCGTTAAAAATTTAATTTACTAAGATCTTGGCCAAGATTAAGCTATGTATTATCTACGCAACTGAATAATTTAAATATGACAACAAATTAAATTATTTCCACTGACGCTTTACAAGTTGATATTCTCTTTTTGATTTTCTTCTTCGTTGATATTTATTACAAAAAATTTATTATTCAAGTAAAGCTGGAAATTATTTATAAACTTTAACAAAATAAAATGTTTCAATTTTCTTCAAAGTTATTGTCGTATAATCATATAAATACTTAATACTTGATTAATTTTGTTTTTAATATTAAAATGCGATTATTAATAAGTACATTTTATTAACAAATTTTTAATAAAATAATATTTTCATTGATATATATATTATTTTAAATTATATAATTTTAATAGAATTTTGAATTCATTAAAATGTTATTTTTTTAAATCTAACTTGTTAATAAATACAAATTATTTTTGTTTAAAAAGATCAATGACTAAATTTATATATATGTAATTATACTAAATCCATAGGTTCAAGAATCTTATAAAAAATTAGCAGATTTAAATTTGTATGCGATTAGCTGTGATTATTTTGGTTATAACAAGTCACAGAACGAATATAAAAAATTTAAATCTCCGGATCCTTTCTTGAGTGTCCATATTTCGAATCCAAAAAAGTTACTTTTAAAACCACATGTCGGCAGTCCAGAAACTACTTACACAAAACCAAATGATAATAAAAAATCAAACGTTTCTAAATCTAGTATAGAGAATGTTGACAATTGTTCTTCTTTCTACGTAGAAACATATAACGAAGAAACAATGCGGTAATGGTACAAGATTATTTTTGAAAAATTAAATTTTTCCATTAAACACAGCAAATTTAAGTATATAATTTTTTTTTATATTTGGACTTATAAAATAGTTTCATTTAAATATAAGTTTTTAAATAAGAAAAAAATTTTTAACTTTAGAAAAATAAGAAAATGTTCAACAAAGAAAAAAAACAAAATTTTATAATTATTTAGTAAAATATATTTAAATTAAAATGCTTTTATCAATAATTTAAAATGAATATCTGTTTTAGTTATATACAATTAGTGAAGGATGAAAACCATGGGGATAAAAGTATAAGCAATAATTTTTCTACAGAAAGGCAAATAGATAATATAAATGCTACAGATACAACGAACACTGTTGACAAAAAAAATTAGAAAAATAAAATGTCTAGAATTTCATAGCGTTTAATTTAGACATAATAAGGATAATAAAATAAAGCTAAAGAGATATGATTAACTGTCACCGATGAAGAAATGTCCATCTGCGATCCAAAGACTCTAAAATAAAAAAATTTGAATTAATAGAACCAAATAATTAAGTACAAATGATATCTTCTATAAAATTATTTTCGTGATTTGAACAATTGAAGATGTAAAAATATACTTTTACAATATTTAATTTGAAAATATAAATATAAATTCAATTTAAATAAATAATAATTTTATTAAGATTAAGATTACTACAGAAATTTATAAAGAACGAAGACAAAATAAATTTTAATTTATAAAAAAGAATTATATATTGTAACACATTTATTTTGAACAATGAAATTGTTCTACAATTGTAGAGCATATATATATGTATATATAAATAATTATTACTTATGAAATTTTAATGTGTTTTTAAAGCCAATATAATAATTACTCAAAAATTAAATAATTCAATATATATAATTAATAGCACACGATTAATAATTGAAATGTGTAATAAAAGCAAATATAATTACAAAAATTTAAAAATTAAACGTAGCGTAAATAATATTTAATAAATTAATATAATTGGATTAATTAAATACAGCTTCTCGAAATAAATAATGCTTAAATATAATTAAATATGATATCGATGTTTTTAAACAATTTTTATTGTTGTAACATTAAAAGTTGTTAAGTATTAATAAAATATGATAAATAATAATAAAATTACATAACTGAAACAATGAAAATTTATTATATTACTTGATTATGTTCTACAAAAATTTTTGATTATTTTAATAGCCGTTCATAACATTATTTATGATATAATTTTTTAGCTAATATCTAATTAATTTCATCAATTCGCAAATTGTTTAATATTGTTTGCTTCCATTTTAAGTTTATTATTAAATTAATTATGTAATTATTACATTTTTATACAGTTATTGGATTAGCTGTTTTAACTGTGTAAATATCAAATATAATATAATTGACTCAAATTTCAATTGGTTATATCGAATATGTTGAAATTAATTAAGATTTATGAAAACGATGAAAATGGATCACTATAAAAATTAAGTTATTCAATGATTAGGATATTTAATATAATTGAGAAAGTACACATTTAGAAACAAGTTTATTTATTAAAAAATTTACGCCAAATTAATTATTTATTCTTATGTTGATACTTATCCATTATTGCAAAATAGATATTTAAATATATAGTAAATATTAAATATATAAAAATATTAATGTAAAATATTAATAATTAATAATTTAAATATATATTTATATATTTAGATATCCTACCGTTTTCATATTTAATAGATAGCGTATTGTTTTTCAACTCAATTTAAAATTGTGGGTAATTAATCAAATTTTTTACATAATCATTTTATTGAAGGGATTTATAGTAATATTTAAAACTGTTTTAGTATACCGTACATATAAGAAATTTTAAGAATTATGAAAAAATCTTTAAAAATTGCTGTTCATTTTTATCTAATGTATATACATGTCTTTCACTATTCATATCATATTCCAGCCCGATTTATTTAACTTCGGCTATTTTTTCACAAAATTCTATAAAATTCAAAATTTGTATTTAATTTAACATTTTAGACGCAGAAACATATATGTGCGCCCACGCGCCCAATCACACGCATACATACAAACACAAAGCGCGCAATTTCATCCAAAACATATTTTTTTCATTATAGTATTTTCAAAATCAGGCGACATAATATTTGAGCTTTTGCATATATAAATATATTTTATGTGTTAATCTATTTTTTTTTTCTATAACAGAAAATTCAGCCTTATGTAAATTGTATTCCTAATGAGTGTATCTAGATTTGTAATCATCATTTAAATATTTATAATAAAAATGGACCTTTCCTTCATAATCTCATACTTAGATCTTTAATTAATTTCAGCTTTACCTTTTTATAGAACAATTTTGTTATAATCTTAATATATACAATATTTACAATCGATCATTTACATTCTTAAAGGCGCATTTACTTTTCCCATAAGAAATTTTAAATAATATTTTTAATCGAGCAAAACATAATTTATTTTAAGTAACAATTACGTAATAATATTAATTTCTAACTTATATTTTTGATTTATGCATAATTTTTTCATTTAAAATATGTTAAAAGCTTTGATATAATTTGTCATACGTATAATAAAACGTCTACCACATATTGTATTTAATGCAACATTTGGTTGGCAATAAAGTAATAAAAACATGCAAATCGAAATTCAATAATATAAAAAATTTTGAATTTAAACGAAGGCACGCACTAAAATCGACAATATTTACAACAAATAAATTCGCATATGTTTTTTAAGATATTTAAAAAAAGGACTGACAATAATGTTACAAAATTTTTATTTTCGTCATTTATTTCTATATAAATATTACCATTATTTAAAATTTTTTTAATTGTATATAATGAATAACTTTTTAATAAGAATTATATTTCAATGCTGAAATATTCTAATAAATAACAAGTTTAAATATAAGACAAAATTAGCCTCATAAGTACACTATAAAAAATAAGTTGTTAAGAATTGATATCAGAGTTTGATTTCAATAATTAAACAATAAATACGCGTGTTACAAATAAAACGCCTAGCTAATGTACACTTGTAAATAAAACAATCGCATTATTTTCACGTTCGAGTATTTGAAGGGACTGTCGAACTTCATGGTTGTAAACATTTCTCTAGACTAGGCCATATTGTTCAGTGCCTTTCACGTTTAAGATATACGTGTTTTAGGCTCAATTAACACCTTTGGTGTATTCAATTTTTAGCTGTCCAAGTTTAACTTTAATATCATGGAAGTTCGGCCGCTTTTCAGGTTGGAGATCCCAGGCCTGAATAAAGAAACAGAATAATCAAATTAAAAATTAACGTTATAAATAAGAATTGTAATAAATGATGCAAGAAATTAAAAGTTTATAATATACTTGTCTCATTATATCATATACTTCTACTGGGCATCCATCGGGTGGTTCCATTTTGTAACCTTTTTCAACGCATTTAACCACGTCGATTAATGGCTGAAATTATTCAATTATTTAATAATCTGTATTTGAGAAAATTCGCATTTTGATTGAAATTGCTTTACTTACTATCCTAGGGTAGGGCACGCGACCAAATGAATATATTTCCCAAAGAAGTATACCGAAACTCCACATATCAGATTTATTGGAGAATTTCTACAATATAAAATTTAATATTATAAAAATTTAAATTAAAAAAAAAAGTTTTGTGAAAAATAAAAATAAATTACATTTTGTTTGAGAGCCTCGGGTGCGGTCCATTTAATAGGTAGTTTGCCACCATCGAGAGACAAATTCTCATCTCGGGCAAGACCAAAATCCGAGACTTTAGCTGAATTATCTTCAGCTACAAGGACATTTCTTGCTGCTAAATCTCGATGTACAACGTGCCTGGACTCAAGATAAGCCATGCCAGCGCAAGTATCATGAGCGAAGTTTATCTGATCCCGTTTTGAGACATGGAGTCGACCCCTAGACCTAAGATAATCGACAAGCGAGCCCTTACTCATATATTCAGTCACAAGATACATATGCTGATTATTAAAAACAAGTCCTAGCAGCTTAACGAGATTATCATGAATGAGTGATGTCATAAGACTGGCTTCAGCAAGGAAGCGTTGAGCCGCTTCGCTATTGTCTTTGAGCATTTTGACAGCAACACGTTCACCTCGATAGACTCCAAGCAGTACATCTCCAAATTCTCCCTTGCCAATACATTCACGCAGTTCAAGTTCGTGGGTCTGAATAACCCAGCCAGCCTCGTCGAAGGCTTTTAGATCCACGCAGAAATCTTGTTTGGGTAAAGATTTTGTCAACTGAGTGCAAAGCCCGTCAGCATCCTGCTCATAATGCTCAACAAGGAGAGCCAGATTTTTGAAGAATTCCTCGTCGTCAATCGTCAGTTGATTATTTTTGTACTTTACACGGTAATGCTGAACCTTACCTACATAGCAGACACACAAAGTGTAATCTCCAGGAAAGTTGGTTGACTCGCGGACTAGGAACAACCCGTCCTCGCGTGGTCTTAGTAATCGTTCCGCCGTCTCTCGCGATATCTTCCCGTGAAACCACCTTTAACAGCCGTTTCAATGATTTCGAATTAGTTACCAATACACACACGCGCACGCGCGCGCAATCACAGCCCTACATTTTTTGCTTATCTCTAATTTAAAATACAAATAGGTATTCATTCAGAAATTTTGTCTTACTGTTATATAATTTTTTTAAACATTTTAATTTCATACTTTATAGAAATTTAAAAACTATATAATCTATATTAATATTAAATTATTAAGAAGTATTTCTTTGTATATATATTAAAAAAAATGTTATTATAACAATAATAACAATATATTTTCGAAAATATTTATATGGTGAATAAATCAGGTATTCTCGATATAAAATATGGTTAAAAATACTATAATTATAACTTTCCTAAAAATAGATATAATATAAAAAGAAATTATTTTGGGTAGCAAATAATTATAATATATCTTTTTATAAATCCTTTATATCATAATTAACTACGTGAATCGGTTTTACGTGAAAACATTTTTTTTCTTTTCCATTATATTAAAAAAAAAACATACTAATTGTAGCTGAAATTAATTAAAATTACAAAAATACTCAATGAATTTAACTCATTTAATTGTTATGGGTTTAAAAATGAATCATTATAAGTTACAGTTAATATTTTCATAAATAATAATTTAAATGTAATTCTATTTAATATAAAAAAAAAAAACTTTTCTTTATAAAATTAAATTCATTGTAGGTTCCAAATAAAAGATAATGAGATGATGAATGTTGTAAAATGATAATAAATTTGATCAATATTTGTATTTACAAATGAGATAATAGAGTAACGTGAGGCAGGAGGTAAAGAGAGGCACCGGTTTTAGTAGGATTTCCTAAATTCAGAAAGAGAAATTGAAAATAAATTCTGATGACGTACGGCATAGCATTGAGTTTGACTTCGTGTCGGGTATTGTTACCAACGAGAAGATTGCTATTCACATTCGAATTTGGGTTAGCATTAGTTGAGCTGGTAAGGCTCGTCATGCTTGTTGCTATAGATGTTGCTGTGGGTGTTGTCGTCGTTGATGTCGACATCGACGCTGTGGTAGGAAGCGCCGTGGTGAAGCTGCTGTGCTGCCGCTGTTCAAGCGGGCAGACAATATTAGAGGTGGCGGCAACTGCTGCAGCAGCTAAATGCGAAGGGATCGTGGTATGATGATGATTCTGATTGCCGTCAAACTTACTCTGTTGACGAGCAGCTGCTGCTGATATATTTGGGTAGCCACAACCCGCATTATGATAAGTTGGCATTACTACGTAGGCCAGTATTGGATAATAAATTGTCTGTAAGTAGATTTAATTAAAAGTTATTTATAGCCCATTAAAACTTTGTAAATCATATGGTGAAATGCATGAAAGTAATTATATATTTACTCAAGTGATTCAATAAAAGTCAATAAAAAATTTGATGTTTATATTATTTTGAAAAAATTTTTTAAGTATTTTATTAAATACATAATAAATAAATTTATATTACATTTATCTAAACTTTTATTTATGATAAATATTAACTTTTATTAGTTAAAAAGATAGCTTTGAATTTGATGTACTATCTATTTATAATTTCTTATGTATATTTATAATGTTTGGTAACAGTGATAAATTGAAATCTAATTTTTAAAATTTTTAAATCTATAAAAAATATATGAAAATTACTATTAAATATTATATAAAATTTAATTGGATATTGCAAATGGTTATTATAATTTCTTGTATATGCTGCTCTTTATGTATTATATTTAAACTTAATATATTATCTTAAATTTTTTTACTATGATCTCTTAATTATAAACATTAATTAGTAAAATGAAGAAAATTTTTATATCTTTGTTGAAATTACCAACAAAATTTTATTTATTTTCTTATTTATAAATTTTTAAGCACAAAATATATCTTAAAGCTAAATCAAAAGCAATACACAATATTATGAAACTAATTATTATTCATGGAGTATTTGCACGAAATCAATTGCGATATAGTATTATTGGTTAGTGGATTCTATATTAAATAATAAATTAACTTAATTTTATATAAATGAAAAGCTATCTATGAAAGTGCTTATTTAATTCTACTTATTTTAAAAATTGTCTTTACCTAAAAATTGGCGCATATTACTTTCGATATATTGATATTTGTAATTGAAAAAAATATTACACATCAAGTTTAAAAATAACAATATTTATTTATATTTTTAATATTGATCCTATTGCATATTATATATTTTAATTATTGACTTTATTTTTCGCATCCATTTATAAGGAGGGACTTAATTCTTCGATTCCAAAGACAAATAACAACAGTTTACAAACAATTACTCATACTTACTGATTCATCATAAAAAATGATAAATTATAAATTAATATTCATTATTAATATATTCATTATATTTTAATTCTTTTTATTTATAATACAAAGTCAAAACCAAATAAAATTAGGTTTGTTTATTTTTCAAACAATTTTCCTTACATACTTTATTTTGTATAAGATAATAATGATAAAAGTATTTATAATAAATAATTTTTCTCATAACAATTAATATTCTCATGGTATTCGTACTGAAACCAATAAAACATTATTTTTATAATCTTAATACAACTTTTATTTAAATCTAATGATGTTTTAAAAACTATAAAATATTTTGATTTGCTATATGTTTTTACCAAATTAATAAATAATTGCTTAAATAATTAGATAAATATTTATGAATATATAAATATACATTAACATATATTTTTTTCAATATATAAAATTCAAATGTACTGATGTATTGGTTTTAAAGAAGTATCTTTATATAATGAAAGCAATATCATGTGTAACTTATACAAGTTTCAGTTACGTATTATGAAAAAAAATACTGTTGAACACAATTCAGTTTTATGAAAATAATATAATTGAATTTAAAAGCTTTTTCTTGTGCCAATGAAAGGAAAATAAATTATATGATTTTAAATAATAAATATTATGCATTTCCTATAGAAACATTTAAGTGAATAGTGATTTCGAAAAAAATAACACGATTTTAACTTATGTATGTATATCTCAATTAAAAGCTTTTCAAAAAAATCCGAGACTATATACCTAGAGAAGTAATATTATTAACTAATATATATCGAGTTTAATGACTTCATTGTATTAATGTATTGTATTGTGTTAAATGTATGAATATTATAAGGATATTTAATAAGTATTTGTAAGACAAATTGGATGGAAATTGCAGCAGTTCATTATTATAAAATTCATTGCATATTTTGAATTATTTTTTTCGTAATAGCAAAACTACAATCGATTAATAAATTTCTTACAAATTCATAATTATGTTATTTGTTCTAGAATGAAATAAACAAAAATTTCTAAACGAACTTATTCTTATTGATAAATTTTAATTAAAATTAATATTAATAAAAATATGAAATTTTTATATTGAATGAATTGTATTGAAAAAACATGAAAAATATCATATAAGCAATTTTAGTATTATTAATTACAAATAAAAATCTTTAAATTAAATATTTTATTCATTTAATTATAGTGTTAAACAGGTAAAATTATTTTGATTTTAATCCATCGAAAAATATATCTTCAAACATAATACTACACATTTAGCTATAAGCCATTTCAAAATAATATTAACATACTATAAATAATAGTGCAAGAAGAAAAATCTTTATTCAAAATATCATATTAAATTTAATTGAAAGTGAAAATATTTTATGTAAGATTTTTAATATATACATATATATTATATTATGTTACGCTATATATAATTCATAAATAGAGCATAAAGAACACTCAAATATATTTATTTTAAAAATTTCTTAATAAATATTATTTTATTATTAAAAAGAATTTAAAAAAAAAACAATTTTTTTTATTCAAGATCTTGATTTCCTAATTCTTTTTTAGTATTATCCGCAAACCCATTGTTCAATGTTTACTTTTACCATTATTTATATTATTCAGATATTAACAGTTTTTATTCAAACCTCAACTTAAAATTTGTCGTTATCTTTAACTTCATCTTGGTTTTTAATTCTGCAAACACTTTATTCAGTCATCAGTGCCGTTTCGTATGATCAAATGACTACATGCTATTTTTTACTCTTCCAACACATATTAAAAGCAGATTCTATTTAGTTTCCATATTTTCATTGAAAACTATATTGATAATTTTAGTCCAATTTAAACTACCTAAAAAATGTTACATTATTTTTTGTTAATTCAAATTTATATTTTATAGGATATAAAAGAATGATATTTTCCACTAATAGAATATGGAAAATAGTAAATATTGACAATTTATAAAGCACTTTATTTTTTTATACATTAATTACAAATTATATTATTGGCATCTTAAAAATATTTTTAAAAACATTATTGTGTGGGACTTTTAACATCCATATTTTAGAAAATTTAGTTTTGTATTGTCTGATAACAGAACCAAATAATTATTAAATTTGATGATATTATTTTTAAGCCGATTAAACTCGGTGACAATTATATTTAGAAACGTTTCATAATAATCTTTATTCCTCTTATTATGCAGAAATTATCATTACCATATTATCTTACAAATCCATACATCTATATCTGCACTACACAAATTATTTCATAAAATTAAAAAAAAAGATTAAGTTGGAAAAACGTACTCTATTCAAATTGCAATCTAAAGGAAACTTATAATATAAATCATTTTTCTTTAATTTCCTCTTGAAAAGTTTGCAATACATTTTTATTTATAACTATATTAATTATAATTTGTTTCAATCAAGCATATAGTATTAAAATGCAGTAAAGCCAATTTTAGTAGTTTCTAATTTAAAGAGCATTATAAAATTTCTTACATATATATTTTAAAGATTATTTTAATGTACATTAGCATTTTAGATAGTCAAATAATAATTTAATAGTTTTCCAAAACTGTATACATTTTTGCTAAAAATTAATAAATACTAAACAAGAGTATTTAAATAAAATGTATATATAAATAATTCAAAATTTAATGTAAATTATAATAAAAATATATAAGATTTAAAATAAAGTGTATCAAAATCTGCATTCAATCTGTCATTAAATTGAAGTCCTTACTTTGAGCAATATATAAATATTGCATAGTTTAAATTAAATTCTATATATTATTTAATTTATTTTATATTATTACAATTACAATCTTTTAATTATTAATGAATAATGTAGTTCAAAATGATAAAAAATCAAATGAAATAGAATATAAAATAAAAATAAAATATAATATGGAACGTTATTGAAATACAAATACTTTATAAAAAATAATTAGAAATCCATGCGTGTAAATACAAAGATTCAAACATGGACGCCTATGTACTTAAATATATGTAACTATTATTTACGATATTGACAATTTACAGAAAAAAAATCTTACGACTATAAAAATAAAAAAATCCAATATGTGGTGTAATACAGACCAATGATTACACGACGGTCTTCATTTGATCTATTTCGTATAAAATATAATATAATGTATAATATAAAATCGATTACAGTTAAGAAACTCTTAAATTAAAAAAAATTGTTGTAAATTCTTAATTTTGGTCGATGTTTTATTTTCAAAGAACAGAATTTTTTTTTATTGGTAAAATTAAGTGCCAGCAATTATAATTTTTACTTAAAATTTATTATCTTAATTGATTTTGAGATTATCTTTATTGATATTGAGAATTAGTAATATTACACTTCTATTTATCAACAAATAATTTCTATAAATTTTGACTACAATTAATAAATTAATTATAAATTTGTTTTATTCCGTTTGTTAAAAAATTTCATATTTTTAATTACGAAATTTATATATTAAATATTAAAAAAAAAATATATTAAACATTATATTTCAATAAAGTTAAAGAATTGATTTCTAATGAAAGCAATTGTAGCCCTTTATTATTATTATTATATCAATAATACATTTATATAATTATTTTACAAATTGAACATAAAAAAATAATAATACTTTAGAATATTTTGATGTATATATTTTAACATTTGAATGTCATAAATAGCTTTTACAGTTGAAAAATAATAATTTTTTTTAATAGAAAATAAATATGTATAAGTGTACGATAAACGTTTATAAATTACTTATATTTCCAATATAGTAAGTTTTATTTAAGATTGAACTTAATATTCTATTAACTTGATTAAATTTACTATAAAATAATTACAAAAATCTAATTTTATGAATTTTCTAATGTATAATTAAGTATATATTTATACAAATTAACAATTTGTGAAATATATAAAATTCTATACTAAAAAAAATACTTATATATATAAACTTTAATAAAATTAAAACTAAAGTGAAAAAGATTGTATCTTAAATCAACTTTAAATATTAATTTAAGATTACTAAACTATAAGATTAAATATATATATTTAAGCATTATATCTAGTTTATTTAAGCTTTATATTTAGTTTATTTATACTTTAATTTATATTAGAAAGTAGATTATCAATAAACATAAAATTGGTGATTAAAAAATGGAAATTAAAAATATATACTGAAATATGAAACAGACTATAAAAAAAAAAAAAAAAAAAAAAAAATTAACGTACTTTGCCTTTTCATTTTTTCATACTATCTATTTATTGCTATTATTATAAGTATTTTATAATGTACATGTTTCATTAAAAAAAATGCAGCTTATTCTTATATAATAATATTATAATTTGGTACTCATAAGTAAATTTTGTAATAAAATTTGTTTTATAAAATCAAAAGATAATATAATAACTTTTAAAAATTCGATGTCATTAAAATATGATTTTTAATTTGAAGTAGCCTCATAATATTCTCTTTATTTAAGAGAAAAATTAAAATTTATTGGCAGAAATAAAATATAAAATTTATGAATGGTATATATTTATAGCAAAATATCGAATAAATATAATTAATAATATAATATTGTTACCTCGATATTTACACTACATATTACAATAAAATTTTAGACTGTTTTAGAGAAATAAAGTTTATTAAACAATTTTTCATTAAATACAGATTTTTGGAAAATTTAAAAAAGTTTTGATAACTACAATAATGACCAAACAAACTATGAAAATTCTTGATCGTTCTGATAATTAATTCTATTTTACATTTTTTAATTAAATTAAAATAAAACAAAAGTTTTTATTGAAAAATTTTTATAAATATTAAAGTAGGCACAATAAATCTTATAAGCTCAATTTTTTCATTAGATTTTTACTATATGAAATTATTATTTTAATGAAAAAATACTTTTTATTATATTCTAGTACCCGAAGTTATATTACATATGGATATTGGAATACCTACTTTTGCTCAAAGTATAGTGCAAAAATTTTTTATGTAATATATAAAATTTAGAAAATCTAAATTAACAATAAACTTTTATAATTTAATATGGTTACTTGAAATTAGCTTGATTTGAAATATTCAGAATGCTTATTAAATTGCTTTAACATTATCAAATTATTGTCACATATTATTAATATTTGAGCTGCTTATAATTTAGCACAATCTAGCATTATTTTTGTCAATCAGGATACAGATCAAAATAACGATATATAGAAGGTTAATATAACTATTCAGTTAACAACTAGAATTATTTAAAATATGTTCTACGATTAGCCAGCAATTAATTCTTAAAATGATATAATCAATACACGCGTACAAGTTTTAATATTTAACGCAGTTAATATTAGAGAAAGTTAAACTCATAATGTTGTTCTTAAATAAATCTGTATTATCTGTATAGTCATAATATTGTTCTCGACTAAATATGTATTTATGTTCACTAGGTAACATAAGTATATTCATATAAAAAGTATAACTTATGAAAAGATATTTGTTAACAATATTGGCAGATAATATAGAACTTGCTTCTATTTAATCACATTTAATGTCTTTAATTTAATTCAGATAATTTATTTTATTTTTAAAAAATATCCAATAACTAAATATATTCAAAATAAATTTATGTTGTACAAAATTATTTTGAATTATTAAAAAAATATAAATATCACAATCATAAAATATTAAAAACCTAAAGAGGCTTATAGATACATATGTGTTGAAAACCAAAAGAACAAGATGGAAAATGGAATAAGAAATTCAGAGCATTGCCCGCATTCCACTTTTGTAAATATATATATATCGCATCAGATAAAATTTCATGGCGATTGCAATTATTCAATCGAAAATGAAACCTCTTGACGTAACTAAAATAAAGTCAGACCTTACTAATAAAACAATTAATGATAGCAACTATGTCCCTAGAAAAAATAATCCTGGGCGTGAACTCAATCATCTAGTAATCTTTTTCTATTAGAAAAAAAAAAAATGTACCAATAAATAGTATAACTTACTATTAATTCGGAAGTTACAGATTGGATGTACAACATTTACAATATGTTTATGACTCGATTTATTAATTGTATCTTCCTTAATGTATCCAAAATTTATAAAAATTTTTATTAAACATTAGTTCCTTGACCGGCATACACTTGGACAATTCTGCAGATGATTTAGTGAGTTTATTATATATCTCTTCTATACCTTAATATAAGACTCGAACTTAAAAATACAACTTAATTAATTTGAAGAATATACACACAAAATTCGGATCGAAAACTTTTTGGCAAGAATAACACACAGCTGCACCTTGCGCCCTGTCACACTGGCGCCCACTCACTCTCTCATCTCGATCGAGCAGCCATTTTGCGCTCGTTCACACCCGTATTATAGTACGACATATAAAATCGTACAAATCATTTCTTTTCATTCCTCTCTGAATTCCGAGACGCACATAAACATCCAATTATGCATGATCCGTACTTTTTTTTTTTTTTTTTAAATAACTATTTTCTCTACTTTTATTATTATTATATGAAATCTTATCTTTTATTATAAAATAATAGATAATTTTATATTATGATGAAATTATTATTAATAAATAAATAAATAAATATATATATATATATATATATATATATATATATATATATATATATACATATATACAATCGCTTATAAACTTAAAATTTTCAAATAAACGCGCGACAAAATGTATTTGCTAATCGTGAAAGTGCATACGATAAAATTCATTAACAGGTGGCGCTTGATAACCACACCACTCAAGATATCTATAAAAACACACTTAATGTTTATACATTTGGATGTACTACTGCTAGCCATAAGATATAAAATATAAATATTAAATATAAATATAAAAAATCGAATTAATAAAACGTATTTATATAAGTTCAAAATAATCTTATGTATAAATACAAGTTTTTTTTAACATATATTTACAATAAGCTGTATTTTAATGTATAATAAAAAGATATAATTGACATAAATAGAAATAATTGTAATAAATAGCTTAATAACGTTAGATACTATTTTATATAATTTCAAACTTATTTGTACCTGTTACTGCACAAATCATTACTATTTCATATAAAATTATGCATATTGAAACATTCGTGCAACCACAATTTTGGTATACATAATATATAAATTAATGTATATGCATATATACGGATGCTATTTGCAAGGAATTCGTCAAAAAAAAATTTTTTAAGCGTTTTAAAAAAATTATATTTTTAACTAAGATGCTTACATTATAAATATTAATATATATTGCGTGCATTTCTTCGGTTTGGATAATTTTCTAAATTCAATAGATTGATATATAATAGAGAAATTTTTATTTTAATTATCTTCTAAGAAATATTTTAATGTATTCGTTGAAAATAAGGTATTGAGGAAACGTATATATACAGTTCCATGTAAAGCATGCGCAGTAAAAGTTTATATTTATTGGCTCTAGAAAATATGCACAATTTTCAACAAGATGTTAATAAGGACAGTGTTTTGTAGGTACAGTTCTCATATATAAAAATAGTATATATTAATATAATTTTTGTCTATAAATGTATGCGTGGGTTCTATAAGCTAATTATAATTTTATAATATTTTATTATTTATGAATAAAAATTAATTTTAAATGATTTACTTATAATTTCCTAGTATCATACATATATATAAGCATCAATTATTCATATTTTTATTCATTGTTATAGATATATTACATATTGCCTTTGATATTGTAATAAGCCTAAGAAAAAAAAAATTTTTCTAAGAAATATTGTAGCTTGACATGTTTTACCATAGTGCTCTAAACATTATACATAACGAATAGCATTATCATTGTATCTGCATAAATATCTGCATAGATTCTCCTAAAAGTAACAAATGGCAAATGTTATTTTAACATTTAAAAAATAACAGTAGACAAAACATATTTTTAGCTCTTTTCAACTATTTGATGAAACATTATGAAAAATTGAAATTCATTTTATTTTAAAGTAATAATTATAATAACAATATTTTACTTTCAAGTTTGTCATGAAGAATTAAAAATTATACTAAAAATATTGAACTATAAAAAAACCGAATTAGATAAAATATAAACACCTTCTGTTATCAAAATATGATTTTTGTTATTTTGAAAATAAATTCCTAAATCTTCGTATTTGTCATGTTAAGAGAGCTGAATTTACATGCCCACAAGTTTGAAATAAAAAAAATTTATTATTAACATACATTTATAATGTATGTTATAATGTATATTTATAATGTGAATTATAATGTATAATTCACATTTATAATGTAGAAAATGTTTTCTTTTACTTTCCTTATTTATCATCGTCTTTATGCTTTTATATGAATGAGACTAAATCTAATTTAATATGATGCTACTTAATGTTTTAAGCTTCAGCATTTTCATGGTTAAATGTATAAAGGATTTAATATTCTATAAGTTCATAAATTAATATGATGTTAATAAATATTTATAATTTCAATGTAAGATTTAAGAAATCCTAACTCTTTTAAATTAATCATTTTTTAAATCTAGTAATTAAAATCATATCAATATGTTAATAAAAGATTACTTTATATTTTCACATATCCTCATAGAATTTGAAATTAAAAATTTTTCATTAAATAAACATTATTGCATTCCTGTTTTGTTTTTATTTTTAAATTGCTTTTAAATTAATCCATCTTAAGAATTAATTAAATGAACTTATTTTTATATATATAACAATTTTTATTTGTTTGAATTATCTGTTATTGTTTATAAAGCAAAGGTAATTCAATTACTGCTTGTCTAAACTTAGGCAACAGAAAATTTATAAAAAATTTAAAAAATAGTATCAAACTTTATTAGTCCAACAATATTGAACTCAATCGAATGTACGAATCTATGATTCCATAATAAATACATATATTTTCAGATATAATAAAATACCATCATTAAATAACCGAACTAAAAAGTGTATGACCTATAATAGGTAACCCAAATCTCATACAGGGTGCAATTATTAGACTGATTAATATGAGGTATTAAATTTTTGATATTTTATTATATTATTTGTATTAAATGTGTATGGTGCACATATATACGTAAGTGCATTAATAATATTTTATCACTATCATTTATTACAATAATTTGATTATATATATATATATAATTAAAAATTATTATATTAAAATAATTATTATATAAAATAATTAAACAATATTAAATTGTTATTTAGTTGGTATAATATATATGATATTTGCATACGTTATTATAAAATTACATATTACAATTACCATTACACACTACTTATATTAAACATTTTTTTTTACTTTATTACAAATATTCAATTGCTTCATTCAATAGTCCATTCGATTGAAATGATTTTTTATTTCATTTAATAATATTGAACCTATTACCATCTTCTCACAATTGATATAAATATCAAATTTATTCAGTTCTGTAGTTTGTATGGTTATTAAAACTAAAGATTTAGAAGCAAGAGTATAGGCAGCAAACCTAATATATAAATATTGAAAAATAAATTATAACATTATAAGTTAACCATTAACTGTAAAAAATAAAGCCATACCTGATAGTATCATCATTACTTGATGTTATAGCAAGATTAGCAATTTCCAAAATTTGTTGAGACAAAGTTTTTTTATTTCCTGGATAATTAATTGTCGTGAAATATTCATTCATACCCTTCAATTGATTTTTTTCAGATAAAAATTTTGCTTCAGATAGAAAAACAGATCTAATAATCTCTCCAATAGGTGCTTTAATATTAATAGTACGATATATTTGATCATCATTGACAGTAAAATTAATATCAAACGAAGCTGGTTGTGTAGAATCATTAAAATTAATACCAATTGTACAAGATACTGATGTATTTAATTTAAGAATTGAAATTGGTATAAAATCATAAAGAGATATTCCATTTGAAAGATTCTAAAACATAAAATTATTATTAATTTTTTATAACTATATGGCTCATTCTGTATCTTACACGTAAAATGAAAAATTGTAATATTTAATTTTAATGGATATAAAACTTTTTTTCAATCGTTCACATGAATTAATAGTGAAAATTTGATTTATTTAAATAGAAAAACATTAATATATTTGTAACGTGATGCCTACTAATAACGTCTTGCATGAAGGCGCAGGTAGACTACAATCGTGATGTAATCGACTAATCATCATTTATAACTAAATTGACAACTGCACGCGAAATGTTCAAATTATCTTTAAAAGTGATAATGCTTGTCAAGAGTTAATAATAACTTAGCTGCTTAAACGATGAAGGCTATTCACAGTGAAATTATTGTAAAAGTTTAATATAGCCAATATACCGATTATCGGATAATGTAAATCAATCGCGATCATTAGTTTTTATCCAATTTGCTTCGTTATCCACGAGATAATAAACATATAAATATATAGCAAACCATTTCCAATATCAAATATTTTAAGCAAGACCTTTGCTATCTACAACTATTACATATTGACTCATTAATATACTGTTTACTTTTTGTCAATGAATAATGGGCGAAATACATTTTTAAATAAAATATATATGTGTATGTGTACTTTCTTGTCTTTTAATTGACTTGATCATTTTGTTCCATACATTTTCACATTATATTTGCACTAAACCTAATAGTTAAGTAGTTTAATTTAACAAGAAATATGAAAAACCAGTTACCTTAGAATCATCTCATTATATACTTAAAAGAATAATAAAATAATATTTTCTTTAATAATCATACTAGAAAAAATTTTCACTGAATAATAAATATACTATTTTTTCATTCGATATTAATATTAAACATAAATATACATAAACTTTATGAACACCCAAAATACAATGTATAAAATAAATTGAATAACTTAAAATTTTATTTCGAAGAATTTTGGTTGAACCTTCAATTTATTATTTTTATATAAGTAATATATTTATATAATTATATATATTTTTAACAAACCTTATTTCCAACATGAATATTCTTAATAGTTTCAATACTTTCATTAGTAAATGTTAATTCAATGTTAACCATAGAAGAATTAACTAAATGTTCAGACCTAGTAAATCTGTATTCCATTTTTAAACCGTGTCCACTAATTTTATTAAGTAATTCATATTTTTTTATTGGAATGAATGAGGGTGGAACTTCTTTCATACCATCTAAAGAAGATATCGATATTGCTGCAGGTAAAGTAGGTGTAAGAAATCCACCCAAACTTGGTGTCATTATAGGAGTCATAGGCAATACTAAAAAATTAAAAATTATTAAATAATATATACTGAAAAAATTAAAAAATAAAATAAAATTTTACCATCATCTAAATCTAAAAGTAAATCTAAATTACTTTTGGATTCTACTGTTTTATTATTTTTAATTTCGGGTTTTATTTTATTATTCACTGCAGAAGTTGTTTTCTCTAATGTATATGTTTCCATTCCACTTTCAGAGTCAGACTCAGAATCTTCAGAAGATGTTTCATCGTCATCTGAATCTTCAGTTTCACTACTAACTTCATCATTTTTATGAGATTTAATCTTTTTACTATTTACAACTTTTTTTACTTCATTTTCAGACTTCTCTGACGTTAATGATTGTTCAGCTGACGAATCACTATTTTCTTCATCCGATGAATCGATATTTGAATTATCGTCGGTATTTGAACGTTCATCTTCTGAATCTATTAAAAATGTTAAAATAAATCTTAATCATGTATATCAACTTTATACAGTATATAAGAAACAAATTTTTTTTAATTAAATAAAGAATTAATTTATTTGAATAAATATATGTATATAAATACAAACTGATTTAAAAAGATTTTGAATAAAATTTAAGATTTTATTATCGTTTTATTTACTGCCACGCATATCAATATGTCTAAGAATATCAAAAAATGATTTATTTATATTAATTACATTTAAATATCTATACAGCCCTATACAAGTAAGTTGGTCTAAATATAGATTAAAAAATCTAACATTAATAATAAGCACTCGAGTGTCAGTTAAATTAATATTTCGATTAACAAAATCAACGAAAAATATTTAATATTTTATATAAATATATAGTTGCATTAAAGAATCAAACCTTCTTCTGGTGTGCTCTCGCCAACACAGTACAAAACTTCTTCCTTGTTTTTTTTCTTTTCTTTTTTATCTTTTTTGCTAGCTCGTTCAGCATAATACATATCATGTGATGGCGTAACATCAGGTACATCGCGTAAAGACGGATCTGGCGGTACATTAGGAAATGAAGGTAATGGACGGTAACCAGTACAAGGCATATCAAGATAATGTGATAAAGTTCCCAATTGAAACTGTATATCTTTGAATCTGGATGTAAGCGTTGGAGCTGGTTTATGAGCAAGAAAAATTTTATTTGCGTATTGTGACAATTTCTTATTGGATTTTTCGTCGTCTTCAAATATAAAGTACTTAAGAAAACGCGTTCGATCTCGAATATCATAATTTTGATCATATTTAGCTAATTGAAAAACATATTGGCAGAATTTTTCTGTTTGTTCAGGATTACTAAGGTACAATTTAACAGCTAAATTTAAAATTTGCAATTTCACAATATCTTCTTCATTTATAAATGTTTTTGCCATTTTCCTTAAAATATCAGGAGCTATTTTTGGAACTCTATTCGAGTATTCGCCTAGTAACCACAAAATTGATGCTCTTGCTTGTGGCACTGTTATAAAATCCATTAGCTTAGCCATATGAGATATAATATCTTTGTGTTCATTTGGTTGAGTTTGTAATAATTTTTTTATAACCACCACACTTTCTGCTACAATAGCTTCTGTATAACATAAACAGTATTCTATGCTATATACATACTAATACACATTGAAAACAATTATAATAGTAATAACAATAATATTAATAATAACAGTAAAAATAAGTAACGACAACAGAAGTTCAATTGCACAAAGTAAATGATTAATTTCTATGTTACAGTATAAAAACATAATTTCTATGATAAATTGAATAATCCAAAAAATATATACAAAGGATTTTGTACCACATTAGAGAAAATGAAAATTTGATTTTATTGATTCAAAATTTTTAAATATCTTATTTATCATTAATTCATTTAAGATTCATGAAATAATCTGTACAAATAATAAATACTTCGGAAAAGAAGTTTTGAATGTTTGAATTTGAAATGTTTGAATTTTACAATGAAAATATGGTAACAATTCAATGTGTCTTATACCCACATTACATTATATTCTGTGTAATAGATTTCTTTAAAATTTTTATATAAGAAATGTAACGACAAAGCTTTCATTTGATTTGTTTCAATAAAATAATAAAATAAATAAAAAAATAAATAATTTTCATACGACAAAAATAGATATATAATAATTTACTGACAAAAATGTACCAATGTATTAATTAATATAAAAGTGCGGACGTATTAGTTTAGAAAATGGTTTTCTACTTAAATCGCTTCAACAATTATGCAGTAATAAATCTGTGTAAAAAGTAAAATTTCGAGCCCATTTCAAAATATGAAATAAATTAAATAAACGAAATAAAATGATTTTAAATAAATTAGACGCAACTTTTAGTTTACATTGTATTTTCATAATTTTGTAATAAAAATTTAGAAATTTAAAAATTGTGCATGATTTCACAAAATTGACAGCTTGTTTTAAAAAAGAACCTTCCTTGTTCTTAGGAGAAGACAGGATGATTATCAAATTAAAGTTAATCTAGAAATTTTCTCTTTCAATTATGACAATCCAGAAAACATTAATCATTCATAAAGTTAAATTAAAATTTTAGTAACTTTTAGAAGTTTAAAAATTTGATTTGATGTATTTAAATAATGTTTAATCGTTCAGTAATTTTATGCTATCATTTATAAAGAAATTTTCTATTTGACGACAATAGTAATATATTTTTAAACACTCCATCGGAAAGTACAAAATATATATTTCTAAAGAAAAATATCAGATAATTGAGAGCAATAATACATTGAAAACAATTGTAAACCACAGAATATTAAATTTAAATCGTAATTAATAAAAACGTTCGATTTGTGGATAGAGAAAATTTTCCACTAAAAAATTCAATAAATCAAAGCATATTTAAATCGATTCTACTTCTTATAATTATAAACACTGATAATAAAATGTGCAATATAAGAATATTCAGTCTAGTAACGCGATTATGATAAAAAAATGATTGAGAAATATGTACATAAAAAATAAATTAAAATTTATTAATATTATTCTAGTACTAAAAAAATATTCATATAATGGATGTATTAATATAAATATTGAAATGATGAATTAAAACTTTATTTATTTATATGATTTTGTAAGTTTATTATTTTCATCTCAAGATAAAAAATAAAATGCTATGTAGTTATTACGTAAAATAACAAATATTAAATCTAATAATATACACAAGCATGTTTAAACAAGAATATTAAATTTTGAAAAAAGTGTTTTAAAAGTCCTGATTATTAAAATTTTCTTTTCCAATTTACATACCGTTTTAAATTAAACTTCAAAACTTTTGAATATATAACTGAAGATATTAGCTATCTATTATAATAAAAAATCAATTATTGATTGATATTGGTGATCCTTTTAAGAAAAAATTACTTTAAACTTAACGAATATATTAAAAAATATATGAAATAATCATTAAATTAGTGATGTATCAGTTAATGTAATACATGTGTAGAGTAATGAGTACCACAATGTCGACATATATTGTAACTTCTAAGTAACTGTGACAATATTAAATTTTTTTAAATACCTCAAAATAATCGTTTTTAATTATGTCATACTTCTAATTTATCATAGATAAATTCGGAGAATTTTATAAACCAAACAAACAAAATTACATACTCCCTATACTTTGTTGTTAACTACACTTCCTAAAAATATTATTCAAGTGATCTTTCTTTTGCTTCATGATGGATATGTATTGCAAAAGTTAAATCATATATGAGAGGATTTAATCAATATGTAGATTAAATTAAATACATAATATATTTTTCTTATTTTTTAAAATTTTAGACTTTTCTGTTGATTTATTTCACTGTTATTCTCTATATACAATCCTACTTCACTATCAGTTATTTATCTTAAAAAATATATAGAAAGAATATTTGCTGAGTAAAATGTATATTTTATTAGCCAAAAAAATATAATCAAAAATTAAAAAAAAGTATTAACTACAATAGATAAAAAAAAACAAGTAACGTTTTTAGAAATACTAAGATTTACTTGAATCTTTTAAGATTAATAATAAAATAGTAATTTAACAATTATATTCACCTTCAGAATAGGAAAATATACAGTAATATACAACATATCATAACAGTAAAGTAATTTAATAATATGATACTTACTTACCATCTCTATTACTCAATAAGGAAACTAACCCATTAAGACATGTATCAGTCACTTCTTTAATATTACTAGCACATCTTCCAATAGCTTGAATACTAGCACGAACAAATTCTTTATCACTGCTCGAAATATATGTTTGGAATTCTCTTAAAATAACACTTATACTTGTTTCAGTTGCTAAATTTGTTAATATATCTAATTTCAATAATTTTATATGCGTTGGATCTGATGTTCTAACAAAAAATGATTTTAGAAAAGGTTCAAACATGCCCTAAAAACAAATATTATATGTATTTACATGAAATAAAAAAGGAAACAATTCGTTTTTATATGAAAATGAATTTAAGAGAATACTTTTCTTGTAATTGAGATACTAGCAATACAATGAAGAACTATACTTTGAACTTCTCTGTGACCTCTCAATAATCTTATCAAAGCTTTTGCAGCAACCATTGCTTCACTTCGAGGTGCTACATGGTAATATAACTGAGCCACAGCCATAACTACTGCAGCATTTCGACTTAGCAACAATGGTTTTGTATTACGTAAAAGTAATCGATGATCTGCATCGAGAATAAATTTTTGTTTTTTTATACTAGATGATTCTGAATCGGGATCATAAAATGGATGCATCCCATCATCTCCGTAATCCTAAATAATATTACTAGTATTAATAAAGTGAATATTTTATAAAAATGAATTTAATATTAAAATTGATAACTTTATAATAATTATAAATAAAATAAAAGAAAAATAATATAGAGAATTATAAAATTATGAAATAAATCTGTAAAACTGAATATGTTTAAATTTATATATAAAATATATACATAATTATGTAATGTGATAAATTTGAAAATCTGATTACTAAATATATTATATTATATTATATGCGAAATTAATATTTTTAATCAAAAACAATTATTATAATATTTATCAAATTGATATTTATTTTAATTTAATAGGATTCTTTTATATTTTCTATTTTCAAATTTATGAAGCTTACACTTGTATTTGGATCCAAAAACTGAGTTCTTGCATATCTTGTTAACATATTAACGATAACTACCTGACCCCATTCATCAACATCAACCAATAAATTGCACAATTTTCTATAATTTTTATGAATAAGATCGATACGATCTGGACAAACTTCTTCAAAAGCCATTACAGCTGATCCTACTACAAGAGTGGTCTTATCCGATAATAATTTTTCTAAAACAGTTACAAGTTCTTCTTTTTGTTCTGAATCTAATGAAAATAGTTTAGGAATTGCATGAGCTGCAGTTTTTCTAACATAAGGTGACATATCGCTAGCAGAATCTTTAATAGCTAACATTACTATCGGAACTATCATTGATACTCTGACACTGGAAAGAACTCTTAGAGCACTTGCTCTTATTAATTGATTAGGATCCTTTAATGCTCGTTGAAAAGTAGAAATTGATAATAACGCAAGATCTTGTTGGTCTTCTGCATATCGTACCAAATATACATAGACTAATTTTTTAACTTCAATATTTTTAGAAACTACATTTTTTACCACTGCTGGAAATAGATCAGAGGCATCTCTACCTTTTGCTATCATCTAAGATTCAAAAGAACAAAAATAAAAGAATGTAGTTCATTGTAAAAAATAGAAAAAAAATGAAGTAGATAAATAGAATAATTATATAAATATTAACATACACCAATGATTCTTTTCATAGCTTCCAATTTCATTCCATCTTTGTTACTATCCAGCATTTGCTTTAAATCATCGTGTCTATTAAAATAAAAATATTTGAAAAACAATATATAAAAATTTGAAAATTAAAAAAATTAAATATGCTATTAACTTCTTATAATCAGCATGAAAGAATCCACCAGAAGCAAGATCATTTGATAGCTCAGCTTCTGTTCCAGTAGAAATACGATCATTACTGTAAGATCCACCATTATTTGAAAGTGAACTTGCCGCCGTAGTTAACATATTGATGTTTAATTTCAATTTTTCCTCTACTGTTTAACCAATAAGGCTATTTAAATTTTATTAACTAATAACAATATAGTCTTTGTTCTGAGGTATAATTTTTAAATTACATCATACAACAATTAAAAATATACAACTTTATTGATTGTATTTTATATTATAATAATGATTCATTTTTAAATTCTTGCAAAAAATTAATTTATGTTAAAATCAATATCTAATAATCAAATATTAAAAATGATCGTGTATTTATTACAAATTATGTACATCTATATATCATATATATTATTCTCAAGTTATATCACTAAACAAACTTTTTATTTTTGCAATATATACTTCCGTATATTTAAATTTGGATCTTCAAATATCATGTTTGATATAAATAATATAAGTGAAATTGAACAATATTAAATGATTTTTTATTTTGTTAAAAAGCTAATACCTCAATAACAAATATTGATATTGTAAAAAAAAATTTACCATTAATTTTATAATAATCGAATGTGCAAAAATTTTATATGACATATTTCAATTAAAGCAATGTTAACTATATTTAATAGCCAATATTATGTTTATAATATAAAACGTTAGTGATTGATTGAACCGACAAAGCCACATGCGCAGAAAAGTTTCATACTTCATTGGCGTATATAAAGGCGCGAAAAATAGAAAAATTATAAGTTATCGTTTGATGAATAACATTTGATGAAAAATAAATTAATGTATTTGTATTGATTTTATATGATTTAAGACGTGATAAAAGTGTTATAAAATAATTGTTCAATACAAATGTAATAAAATATATTAGTAGGATATTAACAGAATAAATTATTTTAATAAAATAAAATAATTTAAAATCTTTATATTAACTGAAAAATAAAAAAAATGTGACATTGTTCTTGTTATGGACAAATCTAATCCTTCTAAGTAGTTACAATTGTTAGGGGCACAACCCATATATAATATAATGAATAACGATTTTTAAAAAAGACAAGAACAACCTTGTTTAATTAATTTTATCACACAATGGAGTATTTTAATAAATTCCGCACAAAAATGTTTATAAGATACAATTTTCTACATAATGCAATATACTTCCTCTTCTACGTTTCATCTATTCAATCCATTCTATTTCTTTTATTATACATACCATTTCTGTTAGAACACTCTACTTTCTGCCCTTCGCATAACTGTAAATTGAATATCTAATTGTAAATAATTGATTATTTTATTGTTTTACATAACCTCATTATTGCACTATAAACTTTTAAATGTTTATGATTTTTTTTATATTTATAAATCTATTTTAATTTTATGGATGCATCTAATTTTATTCAATTGTGTTTTTTGTCAACAATTTAACTTTTAAGTTTTGTTTTACATAGAATACCGACAACTAACATTTATACAACAAATATTTTAATTTTTATTTTATTACATCTATCTGGTAGAAATAAAAATATAAGTAACTATTGAAACTAATATTTTCTCTATAACTAATTTTTTAGTAGCTTTTAAAATATTCAACATTAATAGTAATACATAATATAGAATTGCTGCGAATACTTTTTCTTATTTATTTTATAATTGGTTTGTAATCCTTCATTGCTATTGCAATAATAAAAATTGTTCGGATTCAGGGCCACTCTCGTATTAATCTGATTTCATTTCTTAATCACTTTAACGAAAATTTGAATCGAGCGCTCGTATAATACGTAAAACAATATAAAAGTCGAAGTTTGAAACTGTGATTAGAATCTGGAATACTAACCATTAGTATGCTGTATAGTATGTACTACTATAGCAAAATACTAAAGTTTAAAACGATTTATCAGTATTACTAGAGGTATCTATAGTTTTTATATAAATTCAGTTTGAACATGTGGTTTTGAATAACAAAATTTTACAAATTTTACATAAAAATAAGAAAAATGTTAATTGAACCAAAATTATCTAACTGCTCACCGGACTTCGGAAAGCCTGCAGTTAAACAAAATCATGTAGGTAAAATTTATTAAAAATTAATACATGAATTCACCATTTGATATTTAATCACATTTTATATATTAGCTTTTACATATGTTAGGAGCTCCTCACGTGGATTCATTTAACTATATGCTCGAAAAAGGACTTTCAGAAGTAGTAAAAAATTTGCTACCTGTACATTTGACATTAGCTAGTGGTGATAAAGTAGAAATAGCATTTGAGGATGTTACTATTAACTATCCTACCGTTCCCAGTGGAACCATTGGTGTTAAAAATTATAAAATATATCCATCAGAATGTCGACAAAGAGCTGCTACTTATAAAGGTAAAATAAATGCTAAAATTAGTTGGTTTATAAATGGCAGGCAGCAAGAAACGTTAGAAAAATGTTTGGGAGAAGTACCAATTATGTTAAGAGTAAGATTTTTATGTTTTATATTAATATTTTATAAGTTGTAATTATAACTTTAAAAGTATTAATTGTTATTTTAAGTCCAATAGATGTCATTTGAAAAATTTAAGCCCTGCAGAGTTAATTCAGTTGAAAGAGCATGAGCAAGAATGGGGTGGATACTTTATCATTAAAGGTCATGAACGTCTGATTAGAATGTTATTATTAACTAGAAGAAATTATCCCATAGCAATAAAAAGATCTGGTTGGAAACAAAGGGGAGATCAATTTAGTGATTTGGGTATTTTATTAAGAAGTGTTAAAGAAGATAATACAGCTACAGTAAGTGTTTAATAATGAATGAAATAAAGCATGAATATATAAGTTCTTAATGTTATTATTGTATTTAGAATAATTCATTGCATTATGTCACTGACGGATCAGCAAAATTAATGTTTACATATAGGAAAGTACTGTATTATGTACCATTAATTCTTATGTTAAAATGCCTTTTGAATGTATCAGATAAATTTATCTATAATGCATTAACTTCTGGTTGTGATAACGACGTTTACTATCAAAATTGCATATTGAATATGATGAGAACAATTCACGAAAAAAATTTGCATACACACGAACAATGCAAGATATATATTGGAAAAATGTTTAGGATTAAATTCTTTGAACTTCCTGCAAATGCTACAGATTCTGAAATTTGTGATTTCTTAATAAAGTAAGTAATACGTAATTGATATTGATAACCTAAAGTTATAAATAAATTAATTAAATATTTTTTTAATTAATATTTATAGACATTGCATAGCTATTCATCTTGATAATGCCATACAAAAATTTTACTTACTTTGTTTTATGACAAAAAAACTCTTTGCACTAGCTAATAACAAGTGTGCGATAGAAGGTGTAGATGCTATTATGATGCAAGAATGCTTACTTGGTGGCCATTTGTACTTACAAGTTGTTAAAGAAAAATTGTATTCTTGGCTTACGTCATTAAGAACTAATATTGCAAGACGAGCTAAAAATATTGGTAGTAATTTCACATTGAATAATCGTAAGTAATTAAAAGTTTTTATTTTTATATAATAATTTTATAAAACATTGAAACAATTTATAATTTAATATTGCAGAAGAAATGATAAATATTCTAAAAAGTGGCAGCACTCTTGATTCTCAAATGGAAAATTTTTTATCTACCGGTAATATTAGATCACAAAGTGGTTTAGGACTAATGCAAAATACAGGTTTATCCATAGTTGCTGAGAACATTAATAGAATGCGTTACATGAGTCATTTTAGAGCAATACATAGAGGATCTTTTTTTCAAGAAATGAGAACAACAGAAGTTCGACAATTATTACCCGATGCTTGGGGTTGGTTATACGTGGTTATATATTATTTATTTTATTTGTAGGAAATATTTAAGTACATTTTGTAAAACTTGTGTGTAGGTTTCATTTGTCCTGTGCATACTCCAGATGGTGCACCATGTGGTCTTCTTAATCATTTAACCATGAATTGTATTATTACTAAATATCCAGATCCAAAATTGAAAAATGCTGTGCCAACTATTTTATTAGATTTAGGAATGTTACCCATATTAATTACTGATGAGTGCAAAAATTTTTATACTGTTATTCTAGATGGAGATGTAATAGGGTTAATTGATGAAAATATTGTTACTAAAGTTATAGATAAATTGCGTATTTTAAAGATAAGTGAAAAGGTAAGTTTAATCAACAATTTATTAATAATGATTGAAAAATATATAATTGTCTTTATCTGAAATTTTAGGTACCACCAACAATGGAAATAGTTTTGATACCCAAGAAAAATGTTCCATCACAATATCCTGGAATTTATCTTTTTACAGGACCCACTCGTATGATGAGGCCTGTAAAAAATTTATCTGTTAATAAAATAGAATTAATAGGAACATTTGAACAAATTTACTTAAACATTTGTATAACGGCAGAGGAAGCACATGAAGGTGTAAGACAGTTTCCATTTAACAATTTTAAATATAAAATAAAATATTTAATATATATGTATTTAATTTTAGTTAACAACTCATCAAGAACTTTCAAAAACTGCTTTTCTTAGTAACTTAGCTTGTCTCATTCCAATGCCAGATTGCAATCAAAGTCCTAGAAATATGTATCAATGTCAGGTAAAATTTTTAAGTAAAAATACTTTTTTTTTTTTTTATGAAATTATGCTATAAAATTTTAGATGGGTAAACAAACAATGGGTACTCCTTGTTTAACATGGCAACAGCAATCCCAAACAAAATTATACAGATTACAAACTCCAATGACTCCACTTTTTCGACCTGTTCATTATGACAATATTAATTTAGATGAATTTGCTATGGGCACAAATGCAATTGTTGCCGTTATTTCTTATACTGTAAGAAAATGTTATTTATTAAATCATTATATATATTTTATTCTTTACATAATATTTATAGGGTTACGATATGGAAGATGCTATGATTATTAATAAAGCTTCATATGAACGAGGTCTGGCTCATGGAATGATATATAAATCAGAATTTATAGAATTGAAAGATCAAACCGATTATTTTATAAGAGATTCTAATAATTCCAATCTCTTTGATAAATTAGACCCTGATGGTTTACCAAATCCTGGTACAATTATTAAAGAAGGAGATCCGTATTATTGGTAATTATATATTCTGATATAAGTACAATAATTATATATAATATGCATGTGCACATTTAAGCTTTTAGTTAAAAAAATTTATAGAAAAATTAATAGATATAATAGATATGTGTTATATATTAGTTTAAAAACGTAATAATTTGTATAAAAACTAATTTTTTTATCCAGATTCCTGGTCTAAACAAAATATTCCGTTCTATATTTAGTACAATTTATAAACATTTTTAATAAAATGAAAGTATATTTAATAATTTTAAATAAAAAAATTGTTAATTAAATATTGAATAGGCATATTTCAATAAAATATTAATTTTTTATAATTAAAATACGAAAGACATTATTAAAAGGACATTGAAATATTTAAAAAATTATCATTTTTTACTTTAGAAAATGCTATTTCTTAATTGAAATTACTAAACATTCTATATTTAAAATATTTATAATTAAAAATTCTAATACATTTTTCTTAGAAATTATTTATTGATTTATAATAATTAATAGATATTAAATCTATTTCACTATGATTTATTATTTACTGTACTTAGTTTTATTTTTTTAAAAAAATTTCTAATGTTGAATTAGCTTTGAAGATTTTAATATTTTCATATGAATTATGAAAAAACTATATTAAATCACATTTATTTATTTTGTATTCTATACAATTGTATTTTTAAACATCTTAATATCTATTTTATATAAACTATAATTCACTCTGAATATACTTGATTATTAAAATATCTTATGGAGGAAAAATGCAATAATAAAAATTAATAGAAAAAAAAATTTTGTTTATAACTTTTTTTTATAGTAATCATAAATAATTTAAAGTCTATTGGCTAAATAGTGAATTTAGTGAGTTTAATGAATTTAAAGAATGAATAATCAGTGGTTAATGGTTTTTATTTTAATTATAAAATTACTACATAATTATTTATATTTTAGATAATTGTTCTCTATAATTATTATTTATACAACTATATTTCATGGAAATACTTTAATAGTTTAAAATATATTAATGCAGTAATGACATGAAATTGTAATAGAAATAAAAATATTTTTAAATACAATATTTTATTTTTATTTAGTAGTTAGCATTTATATATATCATTCATTTTAAAATAAGTATTTTTTAAGTAAATACTATTTTTCAGCTTTTTTAATGGAGATAAAAAATCCTTTCAAGTTGGAAAATATAATGGAAAAGAAGATGTTTATGTAGATAATGTTAAACTTTGTGGAGGATTAGAAAATAGCATGAATCGTAAAGCTTGTATAACTTTTCGAATTCCTGTAAAAGCGATTTTTAATAAAAATATTTTAATAAATCTATATAATTAAGAAATCAATAAGTTTTTCTCTAATATTTGTAGCGTAATCCAAATGTTGGTGATAAATTTGCTTCTCGAGCAGGACAGAAAGGCATTTGTTCACAGAAATGGCCAATGGAAGATTTACCATTTACAGAAACAGGGCTTATTCCAGATATTGTATTTAACCCTCATGGTTTCCCCAGTCGAATGACTATAGGCAAGTTTTGTTTAAGCATAAAAATAATATTCTAGAATAATTTTAATACGCATAATTAAATTTTATTTATTTCTAAAAATTTAGCTATGATGATTGAAGTTATAGCTGGGAAATCAGCTGCACTTCATGGTTTAGTACATGATGCAACTCCTTTTAGATTTTCTGAAAATGAAACTGCTGTTGATTATTTTGGAAACCTTCTGGAACAGGGTGGCTATAATTATTATGGAACTGAAAGAATGTATTCTGGTATAGATGGGCGTGAAATGACAGCAAATATATTCTTTGGCATAGTGCACTATCAAAGGCTTCGCCACATGGTTTCAGATAAATGGCAGGTTTGTTATTTTTAATTAGTTTTACTGTTTAAATTTTATGTAATTTTTGTAAAGAATACATTTTGTATTGCATAAGGTAAGAAGCACTGGACCGATCGATGTTTTAACTAGACAGCCCATAAAAGGTAGACGCAGAGGTGGTGGTGTTCGTTTTGGTGAGATGGAACGTGATTCATTAATATCTCATGGATGTTCATTTTTACTTCAAGATCGACTGTTTCATTGTTCAGATAAAACAACCGTAAATAATTATAAAAATTCATTTGACTAATGATTAATAAAAATATTAATACTTTATTCTTTTCAGACATTAGTGTGTAAAACATGTGGTACACTGATTGGCCCTGTAATGGAACTGTTTGTGAACAAGACAATTCTTGGAGAAAAAAAAATGAGGTGCCGTTTATGTAAAGATAATGGAAATCTTGGTGAAATTGATATACCATATATTTTTAAATATTTGGTAACTCAACTGACCTCGTGTAATATTAATGTTAAAATCGCATTTAATAAAAAATAATTTTCAAATTGTTACTATATACAGAGTATATTAAATATACTATTATAAAAAGTGCTCTTTATATACTACTATATATATTACTATAAGAAAATAACATTTCAAATTAATATTCAATTTCTCTTTAATAATAATTTGTTTATGTATTATATTGACATATAAAAAATGGTTTATATAATTGAATTTGTAATAAATGATGTAAATATTTTGTAATAATATTACTTTTATTCTACTAATAGTTTCAAATATATTTTTAAATAATTTATATAACAATATTTTCAAATATTTTATAGTACACACTCACTGTTTGCGCTAATACAATTATATAAGCATATATTTGTGCAAACATCTACACCACTATCAAGAATATATATATATATATATATATATGATCATTGTAATTACATTAATTAATCTTTATTAATAAGTTAAAAAAAAAATTAATTAAAACTCATATTTTCAATTTTTTTAAAAATATTATACCTGGGTTTGAAAATGATTTGAATATTTTTAATTTTTATGGAATGTGAAATTATATTGTCCAATAATGAAAAATATAATAATTATCTATATTTCACAGAATTTTTTAATTCTATAACAATCAAGGTTTATTTAAACTTTAAATCTATTTAAGATATTAAAACGTGGTTATCAGATATATTAATTCATGTTCAACATTATACTTAATATGAAATAAGACCAATTGTTCAGGTCATATCTGTTTGAATATTTAAGCCTTTGCAGGCACTTGAGTTCCGGGTTTAGTTCCAGATGCTCCACTTGTACCGGTTTGTTCTTTTTCTAGTTGCTTCCCTAGGTACTCCCTAAATATTTATAATGAAATTTTATATACATAAAAATTTTTTAACGAGATCTAATGTATACTGATTTCATACCAGTTATGCACCATTAATTTTTGAACAGCCAAAAGAGCTTCATATCTGACATTAGGATCTTCATGACTCAATAACTGCATCACTCTTTGCTTACCTCCTAATTGTTCGATAATGCTATTATTAAAAAAAAATTATTTTAAAAAAAGTAAAAGTAATGCTTATTTTAAATAGAATTTATAATAAATTTTATTATTAAAATAGAAAAAGAAATACATTTAAATCTAATTTTTTATTATAATAATAAATAGAAAAATATCTATATATATTACTATATACTATAATAGTTCATTAATTATATATTTAACTTACTGTTTTCCTCTTGGATAATGTCGTACATATTCCCCAACATCAAAACACGCAACGCTTAAAACCAAAGGATCCTTACTAGTTTCTAACAAATGAACTAAAATTCGAAGAAGTTCATAATTTTTTTCGTTCAACCGACTTGAATTTTCTCGCCAGAATTTTCCAGACTTATGTACAGGTGACCACTCAAGACGGCCAGATTTTACTTCTGTTGCATACTCATCAAAAGAACTCAAATCTTGAACGGATGCTTGTAACTTATCGTTTAAAAATTCAATATCATCAGTTAAATCTTCGTCATCAAATTTTCGTTGACTCAGAATCGATAGCTGTTTTAAAACTTTACATTGAACCATAGCAATGCAGTGTTCCTTTGCAACCTGTGAATCTTCAACTTTCTCAATCAAATTCTAAAATAATTAAAATTTCTAATTAAAATTGGAAATAAAAAATTTAACAAATTAATAATTAAATAAGTCAAACAATATACTTACTCGAAATACTGCAAGAATAATTCTTGTTACCTTTTCTTTTACTGAGTCACTCAATATATCAGCTAGAATAGGAATGACATTAAATTTATTCATTTTTTCAGCAAGCAGAGGATTAAAAGTAAGCACCCATAAGCAAAATATTAATTGATATTGAACTTGAAAATTTACTCTGCCAGATAAAACACTTAAGAGAGTTGATATTCCATCAACTGAGACAAAAGCAAAACGATATTCATCAATGCGAAGCATCATTTGCAGACACCTTGCAACTGATTGAATATATTCATTATTCTAAAAAAAATAAATACAATCAATTTATTATCTATATTTTTAAAATAAATATTGAATTAAAGTAATTATAAGATATACTTTCACAGTATTTTAAAATGATTATTTAAAAATAGAATAAATAAAATCAGACCAATATTAAATAATCATGTATTCAATGTATTGAAAATTGATTCGAAATAACATTAGAATTAATTTAATTGAAAATAATTATGCAAACTTCTTAAGAAAGTATCACTCAAAATTATTATTCCACAAAAATTATAACTTCCAATTAAAGACGTACAAATAAATATTGATATGAATTTTTTTCTATAAAGATAACTTTATAATTTAATTGAACTAAATTAAATATATATTAAATTACAATACTATCTAGGTAAAACTTTTACATTATAGCATCATGCATACGGTGTGTCTTGTGACTTCAAACATTCAGAATAATTTTAAACTATGATAATTTAAATAATGTATTATATAATCTAAATTTTTTATTATTCGCATTATGTAAATATTGATGATCGCAAAATATTGTAATACAATTATCACTTAAATTTATAACAAATTACTTTTAAACCATTCTTTAACGTTAATTATATTTGAAAATTAAAAAATTAATGAAAATCAATTTGTTATAATGAATATATAAACAGATGTATTAAGTAAAAGCCATAAAGAGTTCCAATTACATTATCAGATTATGGTCTCATATAATTATCAATCAAAACAAACATTGGTATCTAATTAAAAATATAACGCTTATTTTATAATGGTTCAAAAAATCATAGAACTTTTCTTTAAATACATTATGGCTAAAGAAACCACACAAGTAGTTAAGGGAATAATTTTATCTCTATGTCAAAAAAGGAAATATAAATGTCTACAAATCTTTATCTTTCAAAATAAACTAGTGAAATATACAAAAACTCTTTCGTATTAAATTAAAATTTTAACCATTTATTCTTTATAAAATATTTAAACCATTTATGCTATACTGTGTGTATATTACATTTGTATAGACATCCAGCCAAGCATGCATATATACCCATTTATGCATACTACAAAATAATACATGTATGTATATGATTGTAAAGTGAAACTGATTATAAATGAAACTCTTATTATCATTATCAATATAAAATAAATTACAAATATATAGTTCAAAGCAAACAATCATTAAAAATATTTTAAAGCAGCTTTTGATAACATACCTAAATTAATTGTTTATAATGAATTAAAAATTAAAAACTCACGCTTAACTTAAGTTGATCTTTTAGCCAAGTAAGATAAAATTGAAGATCAGTTTTTTCCATAAGATCATGGCTCCAACATGCTAATTTAGCAATTATTCTAGAAGTCATATTCATGATAAAACCATCTTGTCTATTTAATAGATTCAAGAAAGGACCCCATACTGACTCTCTCTTTCGTGTTGAATGTTCACGAAAAATCTCGACACGACTACGATTTTCCTATTAAACAGTATGGATTATTAAAAAAATATATATATATCAATGACTAATATATAAATAGCTTTTAAATTAAATTACACACAATCGCGCACACACACAATAATACATATGTACATATATATATTGATAAATATTTCATACAAAAAATAATTACCTGCAGCATGTCATCAATCATAGTAAGTATATATTGAATAGTTTGATCTTTTGAAACATGACCTAATAAATTAAGAAAAGTTTTAGCCGCTTGTCCAGGATTTTCTTTCAGTTTAGCTTCTCTTGTACTAGAATCATTAGTATCAAAAGCAATAATAAAATCATAATCTTCCTTAGATATCATTTGAGACCTAAAGTAGAACAAAAGTAATAAATAAACATACCGAGTGAAAATAATTAAAGAGATTTTTTAAGCAATTAAATTTTCAATAAAATAAGAATTTTTATAAATTGTATAATTACTGAAGATAAGATTGCCAATTAATGCGTTGACTTCTAATGTCAGCAGCTTGTTGTTGTAAAATACTAGTTGCAGCAAGCATATCTAAAATATAAAAATATAGTAATAAATGTAAAATGATTGATAATGATTAAAAAATGTTTATAAATTAAAAAAAATAAGCCCTAAAATTAAATTTAAATTAAGTTTAAAAAACTATGTGGGAGGGTCTGGAATTTTTTCAGAATATCTTACCAATATTTTCGTCTGGAAGTGCTGGAATCATTTCTTTAATATTTGTACGATCGGCCATGGCTATATTAATTACTTTAAAATAAGGTACCACCTTTGTACGTATTAAATTACTTGCAATTTATATAGTGTCGGTAAATCGTTTATAGAAACTGATTTTATTCATTATTTTATGTTCAATAACAAGTCACGAGATTGCAATAACCTGAAGATAGTCACATATTGCTTATTAATGACGTCATGCTGATATGAAGTTATTTAAATCGAAATTTTAAATTTTTGACGATTTTAATCTGTTCTGCGTAGAATTAATTATGTAATTTTTAATGGCATTTTAAATGAGAAATTACAATCTTAGAAACTAATTAATAAAATATATCTTCTAATTATGTTAATAGAAACATTTTCTTGAACTTTAAAAGGAATAAGCTTAAGCAATTTAGAATCCATTTTATAAATACATTCTTATTTTGGTTATTAAATTAACCTATACAATATTGAAATAAGACAAATAATGCATAAATGTAATATTTAATTTCAACAATTTAGACGTTTATATAAATTAAAAATAAAGTTATTTTTGTATGCATAATTATCTAATATTGTTATACATATTTATAATATAACAAATTATTAAAGAGTAGAAATATTATTTTTCATCTTTATTCTGAACAAATTTGACATCAATAATAAACAATTATAACTTACTTAAAAATATATGTAGGTACATACAAATTAGAAATTCTTCAATAACCAATATCATGAATTTATAAATATTTTTATTGATATGCTATTCTATCAATTATTTTATTCATATAATTTTCTTATATTGAAATAGAAATATTTAATTGGTTTTTTCTTTTGCATCTTTATACATTCATTTATTTAATTTAACTGAATATACATATTAAATCTTATTCTAAAGTTTATAATATATTAAAAGTTTAGTCGGAAAATTTACAAATACAATAAATATAAAATAATGATAAATATATTTCAAATTTTCATTATATTACTTATTAATAATCAATTACCTTAAAAATTGAAAGTATTGTTATTAAATTTATTAATTGATTCGCATTCCTTCTGAACTGGAATGCCTAGCATGATTCATAATGGATTCAACTCGATTTGCAGTCTCTCTAACTACATCAGAAATATCATCTGGTAGATTTGGAATATGCGCAGAAAGTCTTTTGTACATAGATTCTTTATTGCCTTCTATCTTTTTACGGCGTTGCTCTTCATATTTAATTTGTTGCTTATAAAAAATAGCATTTTTTAATAATTCCAAAGTGTTACTAAAACTCTTGGTAGCTCCTTCCATACTTTTTATTGCACTAATTGCATATTCGATATCATAACAATGACCTAAAAGCTGTTGTCTTAAAGCTAATACTTCAACTCTTTTTTCTATCATTGGAGGCACTGCTTTACGAACATGCTCTTGTAATCTATAAAATGCCAATGATGGTTCATTGGCCACAATGTGCATATTTTCAGAAATTCTTTCCGTTGCTAGAAAAGTGTTTTAATACAAAACTCATAAAAAATCTTCGATCCATTAAAAAGCTAATATAATTACAATTCATTCGTTTATTTTTATATCTATAAATCAATAAACATACCTTTTTTTACTTTTATTTCTAATTCTTGATCAGATTGATATATTTTTGCAGACATTTTAGTAATTTTTTTTAACGACACAACGTTACATTTCAATTATAAATAAAAATTAATTCTTCTGTTTACTAATAGAAAAAGAAAAGTTTGTCTTGCTGATACTGTCATTACAATTTTGTACGATTTATAATTAGAGCAAAATGTAAGGAAACACTAATAGCACATATAATAACCTATCAGGTAAGTTTTATCAAAATTTTTGTGCAATGAGAACTTCATGCCCAATGGGTACTATAATCACATTAATTTCAAAATATTATCACAATTAAAAGGTAATTGAATATTGAAATTAAACCAGAATTAAAATCAAATAATAGTATATTTAAATATCTGTTTGAATATATGATATTAACAAGAAATTGTAATTATAAAATATCCGTAAAATATACATAAATAAACTTTGCAGTACAAATTTATAGTACTTATATAAATTTATTTTCACTATTGTGGCTACTGAGTATTAAGTGAAATCTAAAAAATATATATAAATATGATGTAACTACTTTAATAATTATAGTTATCATTTAGATGTGTAGGGTAACATTCGCATTCGCTTGCAATTGTACCTGCTTATATTGATTGCTATATTATATGAGTTTTATTGTTTTTAATATCAACATTAGCAAGACTTTTCAAAATTATTTTAAATTAAAATAAAATTTTATTTAATAGATTTTATTATTTAATACAATATATTTTTAATAGAATCTAATCAATAAAATTGTCAAAATAACGTAAAATATTCTCCTTATTCAAAACTTGAAGTAATGACGTTTCTTTGGATTTGATGCGCTCGTCTTTATTATTGTAGCTTACATGAAGTTCGTTGTTGAAACAAAAATTATATATTTAAATACACAGAATTATTAAATTAATTACAAATTCAATGGTTTTATTCTAAACATAATTTATAAAAATCTGTAGTAAATTTAACGATTATTTTTTAAATATAATATTACGTTAAAAATTGTATATCTTTAAATAAACAGTTTTTAATGCATTTAAAAATTGACCTAATACAATATTATTTTATTTTAACAAATTGTATGTAGAAAATTCGAAATTTCTTTGCAGAGTTATTATTAAAATTAAAATATTCTAATTTAATAATATATAAATTAATTAAATGATTCAAATATAAAACTTTAATCCATAAATAGATTATTTTTAGTTCTTTATTGTACACAAATATAAAATAATCAATAACTTTCTAATGTTTTTAATAAACTATTATTATTAATGCTTATTTTTCTCATCAATAAAGTTTCATATTGAAATTACGCGCATTTGTATGAACCAATAACTGGAGATCTCCATTACAAATCCCAATATGGAGACGGAATAGACATTCTATGCTTATATTATTCTTTTGTATAAATTGTTGTGTAATAATGTTAATTAATAGAACTTATGGAATCGTAAATAATCATCTTGCATCTATGAGTTGGCAATTTTAAACTCATATCTGGATTTGTCAATTTAAATTTTATCATTATTTTACAATAAAAAATTATTTAAATACTCATGCGAATAAAATGCTTATTAAAATATTAAAATAATTATGAGTCCATTGCAATTAATCAATTTGATAATGTGTTTATCATGGACATGCGAGCACAGATATAGATGCATGCATGTATAATTGTTATACGTTTTTAATAATCAAATATTCGTTTCTTATAAAAGTGATTTAATATTTCATCGAAACTTGGTCAGACCGCAAATCATATAGTAAATACCTAATAATCAGCTAATTTTGTTAGTTAATTTGTGCTTACTGTACAACACATCTCTAGTCAAAGTATAAGTCTTCCAAATAAATGAAAATGGCGGAACAAAGCGAAAGAAATCAGTTGCCACCTGGATGGGAATGCAGATATGACAGTAGAAGCGGTCGAGCGTATGTTCTTAATTTATTTTTTGATAATAATTTATCGATTATTTTATAGATATTAATATTTTATATTAATACCTTTAACGATATATACACATTGATAATACTTAATCTGTTTTAATATTATCTTTCGCGTTATTACGTTCATAAATTTCCTTTTAATTATTTTATAGTAAGATAGTATCTTAATATAATTTATTATGTACACCCATAAAATTGGTTCAATATATACATTTATTATCAATATTTCATTCGGATACCTGATACTTAATTTATCATTTTAATAATTATATTTATCTATTTATTTTCATTTATTTAATTAAATTTTCGTTTTTTAGTTATTTTATAAATCACTTCAATCGCTCAACTACTTGGGAAGACCCAAGAGTACGTTATTGGCAGTATGCTCAGTATATCCAATCTCAAAATTCAACAACTCCAAGTTCCGGAACAACCGATCACCTGAGTGAATCCATTCCTTTACAGGTAAATAGAACTTTTATTATAAATTTTGTTTTCATTTTTTTTTTATATTTGTAACTTTCCTTTAAATCTCTTATAAAGACAAGTAATTTAATTAATATCTTATTCTATTAAATATAGATATAATTAGTTATTATTAAATGGAAATAATAAAAACTAAATAATAAATATTTTTATATTTTGTTAAAATTTTCTACAAAATTAAAATAATAAGCTTTCAAATAATATAGCAGCAGGAAGAAAAAAGAAACATTGATTCTGTATAATCGACTTGTAAATTAATTATTTGAACATTACATTAATTAATACATAGTAATGACTGAAACTTTTGTAAATTATAAATTAAGTATATACAGATGCATTTATTTGCATATTAAATTTGTTTTTGAATACTTATAATATTTCCATGCTGCATTTTTCTGGATTATCACATTAAATAATGTGATGACAGATGAGTGGAAATTCCACAACAGGGCATTCAGTTTATTCTGGAGCTCATAGAGTTCCACAAGTATATCCAACTCCTTCACCTTATCGTAATCCACAACCTGCTTTCTTACCTCCAAGTCTACAGGTAGGTGCAAGTGGCATCTGAAAAATGAAAAATCAATTTTTGTAAATAAATATTGTATAATATAAAATAATCAATATAAATGAAAAATGTTTCTGCTTTATTATTTGTTAGGATTTAAAGACTCCACTATCTAATCGATCTGTGAGTGGCTTGACGAACCGACTTGGTGAAATGACGATCGGATCTCCAACCCCAATCAGAAATATGGAAACTAGCTTAATTCAAAACGAAGACGTAGAATTACAAGTGGTGAAAATCAATACCATGTTTCCAACTGTCTCTGATACCCATATTCGATTATTATTAAAAAAGTAAGATTTCAAAAATTAATATTGAGAAAACAAATTCTAATAGTATTTCAACAAAACTTTCTTCAATATTTCTTAATTTATCCAATAATACTTCATTATATTTATAATGTTAATGTTAATGTATTTTATTTTATCTCTATCAAATATCTTTTGAATAATAAAGATAAATGTATTAGGTTAATGCAAAAGTTGTCTCATCTAATGCTAGACAGCATTGCTTTACAAATCAGAAATTTTATATATATTATACAGTTAAAGTTTCATTGATATTGGAAAATAGATTTGATTGTCCCTTTTACGATTTATTAAATATTAAAAATGGCAAGAGATAATAACTTTAAAAAAAGCTCTATAAAAGCATGACAATATATCTACTATTCACAGATTTTACAAATGCTTAAGAAAGTTTTGTAAAAAATTTTTAAATTAGCGATGCCATCATATTTTGGATGAGTATTTAGCACTAACTGAGAATGATGAGTACAATTTGATGTAATAATCTTAACACTGTTTATGTAAATAGTTAATTCTAAAAATTTTGTCAATACTTGCAATTATTTAATGCTAATTATTTGTAATTATTAAATTCAATTAATTTCATTCTGAAATAAATGTTATATACAATTTGATTCAATTTTGTATTGAATTGTATATTTTATGAAATTAACTATCAGTATAGTTTTTTATTGATTAAATTTCATTTGTTTTAACTTTAGATTTTTAAAAAGAAAATTTTTAATTTTAAAAATTAAACTATTTGTAAAAGAATATGTACCTATACGTATATTTTAAAATTTATCCTTTTTGTAATTGTAATACATTTGTCTTTACCATTGATTCAAATACTAAAAACTTGGTTAATCTCTTGCAGATATCATAATAGACCAGCTTTGGTTGTAAGTGCACTACAAGTTGAGAAGAATCCGCTTTGTCAGCCTGGACCTTGCACACCAATAGGCGTACATTCCAGCTATGCAATACCGAGATGGCGTCTTCCATCCCACGCAATACATACAACTCTAACACTGAGTCCACCACGAGGTGTACGGCCAGTCCCGCATTCCCCAAAAATGAAACTTAGGTTTACTCCATTCTTAATAATGTCAAAACCAGTATTTGGATGCTAGATGTTAATATTATGAATATCATATTAATATGTGCAAAGATAATTAGAACGAAAAGATTTTATTATTATTGCTCATTTAAATGTATTTTGTCATTCAATAAAATAATTTCATATCATCTAAAGAAAGATATTTTGCACATGAATAGTAATAATCTTAATTATAATAATTTATATAAAAATATTTTACAGTATGAGATTTATTATGAAATTAAATGAATGACAGAAAAGATTTTCAATTTATTGGTGTATATTATTAATTAAAAATACATCAAATACTAAGAAAATCATACCGTTTTAGTCCATAGTTATTTGGTATGTTTATAACTAAAAATAAAACAGTCTCAGTTTATAAAAAAAATTAAAGTTTTGTACTATTGCATGTTTATTTTTATATCTAAAATTAAAAGTACTTTAAGTTTTCTTTATTTTCTTTTATAGATTCCACAACCTTTTGTATCTAACACTCAATTATAAATTTATTACACTATTAATTATTGAAAAATATATTAATTAAATTATAATAGCATGGAATAATATTGTATAAAAATAAATTGAAACACAGTAAATTAAAATACAATTTTTTAAATTAATATTCTCTTATTGAACTTAATGTTTTTTTTAATTTCCACTTATTTTAAATAAATCTAAGATTTAAACACATACATATCATTATTTTTATGTTTACTATTTGTAAATTTTATTTCTACCCCAATCTTTTTCAGTTTCATCCCGGTTTTCAATACCTTAGATGTTGAATCGCATCAGTTACTCAAAACGTAGATAGGTTAGTTTATTCTTTTATGTTTATAAGAATGTACTTATTTCTTTTTAAGAATTTTTTAATGATTTTTTTTGTATTGTACCATTCATTTCTTAAAGCACGCATTCTTCACTCTTGTACAAGCTTGCTGAAGTTGGTGTAGAAAAAGTATATTATCATATAAAAAATATATTTAATATAAAAAAAAATAATTTATATATTATTCGTAGGTACCTGAAAAATGTATTTCCTAAAGTGGATGAGTATATACTTCTTGATACTTTAGAGCAATGTGAAAATAATGTTCAAAAAGCAACAGACAAATTGCTTGAACTTGGATATGAAAAGCGTAATCCAACTGCTCCATCCAGATTGTCTATTAAAAAGAAAGAAGATGAAAAGGTAAATAAATATATTAAAATAGATTATTAAATATAATTAATAAAAGTTAATTATTTTTCTTCCATGATATTTGTTTTTCCAGAGTTACACTGCTCCATCTGCTCCTACTCCACCTCCACGAATGAAAAGTATAGAAGAAAAAAACAAAAGTAAGTTTAATGAAATTTTTGCCTTAATGATTATTTGCTTATTAAATTTCATTTGTATAATTTAAATATAGTAAAACTACATTTAATGGATAAATTTAAAGCTGTACCAGAAAAAGTTATTTTATTAGCAATGGATAGTGTAGATTATGATGAAGAGAGAGCAGCTTATATTTTAGATATTATGATTACAGAAGAAGCCATAAAGCCATTAAATACGTCCAGTAGTCAAAGGTAACATTTTGTTCAAAAATCATGAATTAAATATAAAATTTATTGTTTGATTTTATTTTTACAGTAGTAATAAAAGTGATGATAAAAAAGATTGCCCTCCAATAATAGAAGCACTGAAATTACATGCTTCACCAATTAAAAGAATGATAAAAGAAGTAAATATTGAACAATCAAAAAGATCAAAACAAAAAAGTGAAGTTCCAAAGTAAGACAAGTATTGTTAATATTGTCTTTACATTGATGCTTTTAAATAACTCATTAACAATACATTGACTAATATTTCAGAATTTCACGTGGAACTAGTACAACAGAAGATGATGATTATAAATCACCTTACCTAATAAGACCATTGGGTCCTAATACAGATTTACCACAAGGAGCAAATAATAATTTACTTTTGTAAGCGACTTTTCTTGACCTATAATAATATATATATAAAACATATCGATATTGATTTTTCATATTAATATTTTAGACCTGATTATGCACCATGGTCTGGTCCTGATCCATCATTGTTAATAAAACAAAAATACACCAAAACATTAGCTGTAGGACAAAATGTTTATTTTACTGGTAATCGTAATCTTGCAAAAGGTCCTAATTCAGAGCTTCGCAAAGGTCCACTTAGAGGATTAGCTCAAGGTTCAATATATTCTCAGAGAAATGCCATTAGTAATATAGAGAGTCGCGGTAAATGAAATATGTGTAGTTGTTTTTTTTAATTCATTTTTATTATTTTCATTAAATATTAAAAAATTATAATTACTATTTATTTTTTATTAATATTTTAGTCGGTTTAAATTAAAGTAATAATTGATTCAATTTCCTACAGAATATGGTTAAATGAAAAAGTATTTGAATTGTGATAATGAAATAACATTTTATTAATATTGTCTCATATTATATGACATAAGTACAAGCATATTTTCATGCATTAATTATAGTATGAAAATAACTTAAACAAAACATCATTAATTTTAAATAGCTCAAGTGAAAAATATATTTATTAAAAATACCCATTATTTTTTGGGTTTGTCGAATTAATTCTTTTATAATCTGCAGTGTTACATAAAGAATTTATACTTTGAAAAATTGAGTGCAGTTTACATTCTTGATATTCACAAGCCAATTCACATGATGCATAAACAGTATTCATATTTATTAATAATAACACTAATTTCTATGTTATTTAAGCAGTCTTAGTACTACAACATAACTCGTGTAGTATATTTATTATATTTGAGTAAATTGAGTTTTGGAAAACTAGATTCTACATTGAAAAGTTTGACATTAAATGGCAAGTATTAATCATATCGATTAATTGCATCTATTGCATACATGAGTTGAATCCTGTTAAGGAAAATCAGACTGACTATGCACTATGAAAATAGTGAGTGTGATTTACAATTAAATTAATATTCAAAATTAACAATTATTTAATACTCCCAATGCATACACGTGATAAAATATGACGACGCTCATTATATTACCACATCTTGTTATTAAACCATACAAGTATCTCACAAAGTAAGACATATGAAACATCTCTAATTTATGCTAAATCGTAAAAATTTTAAATTCTTCCATCTAAATATATTTGTGAAGTAATAATTGATGCAAGGCTTCAATTTTAATGGTAGTAAATTTTTTGTCATTGCTAGAAAATTTAATTTCATAATACATGTAACAAACATTAATTTTTTTATCTCCTGTATTTCATATGATCTCATGATTAATTTATTATGTTTTACTCTCATTAATTTCTTTAGTTATTCAGGAGACTTAATTAAAATAATAATTACAAATTATTAAAATCACAGAAATGATTTTCACTTGAGCTATTAAAACATGTGTACTTTCTGATTAATAATTTTTATACCCTAATCAATAGAAAATGACATTTGTACTTATATTATATAAGTGATAATATTTATTATTAAATAAACATATTTTATTTGTAATAAGCACTTATAAAAATAGATTTTTATATTTATTTAAAATATTGCTGATTAACTGTATAATATCTTTTATTTAAGTGATTATCCTTTTTAAATGTATATATAATTAAAAAAAAGAAGTGTATTAAATTGAATACATTCATTTTTTAATAATATATAAAGGTTCACTTTATTTTCTTAAATAATTAATCTAATATGTATATTGAAAATTTAAGCCTAGAATATTGATCCCAAGTTCTAACTATTATTCAATTTAAGTTTAAAAAAAAAAAGATTCAAATAAAAAATTTGTTCATTTTATAGCAACACTAATGAATTTTAAGCTATAAAATAGTTATTAATGTGTTGCATAATTTGAATAATAAATAAAAGCAAATCATGCACAAATTATGTTTTAATATAAAGACAACAAATTTGATATACAAATTAATACAAGATATAATTGAATTTTAATAACCCAAACATTAGCAATTTAAAATGATTTAAATATTAATACGTTAATTTTTATATACATTATATTGCCATTTATTATTTAACTTTTTTATAATTTATAACTGGTATATCACCATTATAAAATTAAATAGAAATTATAATATCAATCGTGTCAATTGGTCCTTTAAAAAAAATTCAATGATTTCACTCATGATTTATATATTTCTATTAGAAATTCTTTTAAATTAACATATTTGATGAATTTATAGCTTATCAATACTTATAATAATTACTTTGATCAATGTCTTATTATGTATTATAATTCATAAATGTTTTCTTATATGCTGTTAATTTCAGAAATATTTTAACATATAAAATAAACGATTGCTATATATAAATTATACATACTTAAAAATAATTATTAACAATGAAAAATTTTAAAATATCATTTGTGTATTTAGAAAAAATATTTACGTATGGAAGACAAAAAATTTAGAATTTTTATTTAACAACAAAAATGTATAAGGTTCTCAAAGAAAATCTGATATGTTGTGATACTATTTCAATAAATTTATTATTACAGAGCGTCCATGATATATTAAAAAGAACAAAAATAATGATTGCAAATTTCATAATCAATCAATCAATTTATCCACAATAATAATAATCTTTTAATTAAAAATAATTTACTTTTGACGTCCTGTAACTCGATGCTAACTCGACTTTCTATGTTAGTGTACAACGATAATATAATCTTAGTATAATACAGTTTTAAGTGTAATGTTAAAGTAATATCAAACAATATTAAGCAAATACATAAAATTCTGATAGTTAATAGTGATCAATTTAACATTCAAATTATATTTATTTAATATTAAAATGATATTTGCCGTTATTAAAGACAAAATGTATTAAAATTTCTAAGACAAAATACAAAACTTTGTTTGAAAAGATTCATCAGCTATTAGCACGAACCACCTTTTTCTTAAGTATAAATTCATATTTTTTTAAATGGTAATTTTTAATACTTTCAATAATTTTTGTTTTCACAATACCGAATAACTTAAATGCTATTTAGATGTTTGACCTATTTGTCGACAAAAATAAAATTTTGCACATAAATTGAAAAATACAATAAAAATTTTTTAAATAATATTAACAAAATAAAAGGAATTATAACAAGTTTTATTCTCAAGAAAAAAAGTACAGTTAATCATGTATATACCATTTATTCTTTAAATACAAAAGTATTTTCATATAGCTTCATCCATCATAATCCTGCCTTTAAAGTAAACTTAAAATTCACGAATACAAAATTAATAACAGATAGGCTGTGTCCGATGAGATAGTTGTTAGCTATTTTTATAGCTTTTAAACTTTCAAAATAACTACGTTGAATAAAAATATATATTTTGATTACATTTAATCTAAGGACTTGAAAATACAAGCGATTCGATTATCTACTGAAAAATTATCGGATTCGTAAATCGAATCGCATAAAACTATAAGCAGAATCGTTAGATCATTTTGATACTATAATGAACTTAATTCATATTTTTTAATTTTTAATATGTTGAAATAAATAAATACTTTTAATTGGAATGGAAACGTTGAAGCTTTATTTAAATATAAAGTGAACAAAATATTTTAATTTATGTTTTTTACATGTTAGTTAAATATACTTATCAAAAGATAAATTGTTATAAGATTTCTTTTACACTTTTTCTTTTCGTGAATGTAAATTATGATATTAAAACTATAAAATTAAAGAAAAATTTATAATTTTGAATATACTATTATATTCTTGAAACTAATTAAAAGTATTTGTTATTATCAGTTCTACTTCGGTTTGTATTTATCAAAGTATTATAAATTATATTATTATATAATTGTAATTAAGTTATTATATTGCTATTTGCATTATTAAAGCAAGATAAATCGAGTACTTATGTGTCCAGATGTGCAATGGCAAGGATAGTTAATAATTTAATTATAAAAATTGTTAACCAATCTTAATTTAATTAAAACAGTATAATAATGTACGTTAAAAAAATTAATAAATAAAAAAAAGAAAACTATTTTTAACTATATTTAGTTGACAGCGTTAATACAAAAACGCGAAATATATTTAAAGATCGAATACTATAATTGAATTATCGTAATATTAATCATATTGCCTTGTCTTTAGTATTACAAGTTTATCCTCTACATGAAAATTGTCAATCATTGTGCATTTTGTAGCAATAAAAATGTTATTAACATAGATTTAATTCGTCTATGAATTATCTATTAAATGACTCTGTATCTTATTGTATCTAAGCATATATGTGCAATAAATTTATTCTTCGTAATGTAAAAAGAAATAATTTTTTTTTTTTAACATTCAAAACAATACATAAAATGTATTTTATAAATATTATAAGTATGTGTTATTTATTATTGTATAAGAAGAACAATTTTATAAAATTTATTTAAAAAATGTTATTTTTATTTTACAATTATGTAGAGTGTGTTAATACATTATAGAATTTCATTGCATAATATTAGCTCAAAATATACTTCTTTGAACTAAACATAACTGATAACTCTGCAACCAGTTATAAGATTCCATTAATAATTTATTGAAATTAAAATAATGAGCTTAATACTATAACATGGCAGATAAATATTAGCTTCATAATTTCAATACAAGGTATTGAAACTCTTACATAGTTCATTGTAAAAAACTTGTTCACATTATTTAACTCATTTAATTCTTCATTTAAAGTATATAATTATTAAAATCAAATTGAAATTACTCAAATGTGAAGATTATTTTTAATTTTTTGTAGTAATTGTTTATTTTGAAAAACAGCAATGTATCATTAAAAACGTTTCTAATATATTAATGTTTTAATGGGTTGAATTTTTATTATTTTTAATATAAGTGATATAAATTTGATAGATTTAATTAAAATTACAATGTCGAAATGAAAATTTCTTTTTTATTTAGTTTTATTGAAATTAGTGATGGATATTATAAAATCATTAATAATAAATAATAAAATGCTTAATAATGAGAACTTAAATTTAAGTTTAACATATTTTCAAATGGTAATTAAACATATTTATTTCCAAATACTAAGCTTCATCGATCATTCGAGATATTTACTAAAATTAAAATGTTTGCTTCAAACAATAATGATATAAACGCCTAGAAATCAAAATAATATTATTGAACGTTAAAATTGAATTAAAATAAAGTAATAGATTATTTTAGTATATATAGTATATATTTAGTTTATTTTTCTAGAAAAACGTATAAATATTTATTTAATGTTAAAATCGTTATTAATAAAACTTTATACAAATTGTTGATTTGGGTAAAGAAAAAAATGCTGTGTTTACAAATGAACTTTTATTTTTATTAAAGCACATTTTGATTTTTATACCATACGCCTCAATAATTCATTAATTTTATCTTCACGATTTCCAAAATCTCCTCCTTCAACGTAGTGATTTGTCTTTTTACGCCAACCTCCAGTAGGTGTATTTAACTGTTTCGTAATTTTAAAACATTCAAATTATAATTTAAAAATACAAAGGAAAGTATATTTAAGCCCTATTTTATATATATATATATATATGTGCAAGAAATACATATTTCAAAAATAACAGTAGTAATGATAAATTGAATTTCTTGAATTTATATGCGACAAAGAAGGAAGTGAAAAAAGATACAAACTTTCACCACTATGCCAATGTCAAAAATTTTAACTTAACACTGTCAAATTATATTATTGATAACATACCTTAAATGGCCACAGGAAATTACTTGCATATTTAAATTTCATACCAACGGTAAAAATTTCATGAATTAAGTCTTCAGTACAAATAATATTCTTGCGACCTAAATGAATAAATTTTATATAATATAAAAAATTATATTAGATGCAATAAAAAAAAATTGAATGATATGTACAAATAACGTCTGAACATTATAAATAATCAATGTAAATTTCATAATTTTCAGATGGTTATTTGGTTAATATTAGACAACATGGAAGAGTATATTAAAAAATAATCTTAAAAACTCATGGAATCGTCTATGAAATAAAAAATGAAAATAATGTATACGAACCTAAGGCCTTCTCAATAATAGCATTACTTGTGATTGGAATTCGTTGTCTGTTAACCTTTGCAAAACCTCTTTTGTATATTAATTCTCTAACAGATTTTAGGTTTGGATAACCCCATGTTATATAAGGTTCAATAATACGAAGCATATTAATGGTGGCCTTATTCAATTTAATAAAAACTCCATTATTAATTTGTTTCAATCGAAATAACTGCAGAACTTTGCGTACTTTAGGTGCAACCTGATTTACACTGAAATTTTGTGAAAATAAATATAACTGTTTTTGGTTAAATGTATAAAAAATTTATAATATGTAAAGTACCCTCGGATACGAATAACAAATGCAAGCTTAGCTTCTCCAGGAATATAGTAATTTCCATGCTTCTTAGCTTCCCTGATCAATCTAATCTCATCCCTTTCTTTAACTCTATATTCTTTTACATATTGTTCAGCTCTTTTAAAGATCTCTTTTCTTTTCTTATAACGATTAGCTACTTTCTAAAATAAATAACCGAAAATTAATTACACTTGATATCAATTATATAAAAACAATCATATATACCTTAAGCGCAATTTGCACGCGAGCTGCCTTAGCTTTTTCACGATGTTTTCTTCTTTTCAATACAGATTCTGGTACAGCAGGTAACTGCTTGGACGCCGTTGCTTTTACTTTAGTATCATTCTCTTTACTAATATAAAAAGTTATAAAAAAGATAAATAATGGAATTAAAAATGAATAAATAAGATTTGCATTCAAACAAATTATTTTCCTTAGTTTATTAAAAACAATCAATATCAATAACTCCTAATTTATAAATAAAAATTTATACATCTTAATGTTGAAAAAATGTATTTTTAATTATTATTGTATATGCCATCGAAAATTTTAATGAATATTAAATGTTGTTAGGTTATAAAGATTTGAATTGTAATTTTCTTGTCTTATAATAATCTTGTACAAAAACTAAATATTATTATGTAACAATATGAAGACGAGACATATTTATTGAATATGTAAAAATTATAGTTTATTATAATGACAAAGATGTTTGAAGATTTTCTTTATAACATTCTATTACTTACGTTTCTGCCATTACTGCGGGCTAAAGAAATTTATTTTTCTCATCTATAGAGCTTGTTCCTGTTCCCTTCTTATTATAAGCATTATTCTATAATTCTAATTCAACGACACAGGAATCTATATTAATAGATAAATTAATAAATAGTATAGAGCATGGAAAACACTGCCAACATATTGAATGTCTCAAGCATTTGATTATAAAGTTTAATATAACAATGAAATTGAAATAATAAAAACTGTATATTGCGTATTCCTTTGTTCTAGAACAAATTAATATAAAATCTTTAAATTTTAAATTCATGGTTGGCGGGTATAAATCAGTGAAATATTACATATTGAGTAAATTACAATAGAACAATCTTTTCATAGGATTTGATAAATAAGAAACAAGAAATTTGAATTCGTTGATCTATCACATAAGCGCGGAAATTCATTTTATTATACGGTCGCAAGATTATACAGAAAATAATTAAAATACAAAAAATAATACGTCAATAATTATGTAGATTTAACAAAAATTAAATTTTAAATTAAATTTGCCTTTGAACGTTGTTATTAAAAGTTATTATTATAAAAATGAAAATGAAAAAAAATGAATTATTAACTAATAGTTTTTATATACATATTAATAAAAACATTTAGTAGGATTTCTATATGCTTTATGCATTATATGTAATTTTTATCGTATAAATCTTAGCCAATCAGTATGAAATTTTTCTGCGCAGACTCGAAAATTTCATAAATAATCTATACTTTTAGTAAACTCATGCCGGAGGCTTCTATACTCGTATTGAAAATTAAAGCTTCTTATATATATATATATATATATAGTATTATTAAATATACAACATATAGAAGATCAATAAATTTTTATTTCTAGCATAGTATTGGCATTTTGATATCTATCATTATTACTTCAAGAGTATGGTTAAAATATAAAAAAACTTTGAAATAAATTTATGAAAGTAAATTTTCAAACTGAATAATTGATAAAATAAATTATACGAATTACCTAAATTTTAAAATCATTATAACATCTTAAAATTGAGAAGCAGAATTTTAAGATTTATATAAATACATTATAAACACAGTGCACTAGCAAACAAATGTTAAAGTATTTTATTCTATGCAAACGACGCGTTATATTTATTATATAGTAAATTAAATAACAGTCCATTGTATACTAATTTGAGGAACCTAAAATAATGATAGTTTAATGGCATAATGGATGCAATTGTAAATATTTACGTCGTTTAAGTTTTAACGTGCATTTTTATTCTTTTGTCAAAATGATAAACGGTAATATATCTTTGGAAGAAGATACAGAATTAAGAGATCTTGTTGTACAAACTCTTGAAAATAATGGCGTTCTAGCAAAAGTGCGAGTATGTATTATGTCAAGTATCTGATAATTATGTGATATTGGGTTAAATTAATTTATTGTAACATTTTTTGAAAGTATATTAGTATATTTATACCTAATACTCTCATTATTACTATTATGACACACATGATTTTATTTTAACATTCTAGGCAGAACTACGAGCTAGTGTATTTCTCACTTTGGAAGAACAGGAATCTGTTTTAGTAAGTGAAATAAGATTAGGAATATATTAAACTAATATATATTTTTATATTTACATTTTATAATAAAGCCACATTAACTTATAATATCTATTTTTAGAATCCTGAACCATTTTTAAACAAATCTGTAAAACAATACTTGTCAAATTCAGAGGGAAAGTTATTATTTTCTTTAGTGAGAGAATTCTTAGAATATTTTGGACTTGACTACACAATTTCTGTATATGATCCAGAAACCTATTTTGGTAAAGAGTACAATTATAGTGGTAGAAAAAAACTTTGTGAGGAATTGGGAATTAATTCAGAGGAACCATTGCTTGGTGAAATTTTAAAAAGTACTATAAGCAGTGCCTTATATAATTCACAAAAGGTATGATAATACTCTTTTACTCAAACTATAATATTTTGTTGTTAAATAATAAATAAAATTATAATCAATTTAGAATGATTCCAATAATCTCAGTACAAATAAGGCCAGTGAAACCACAGAGCATATTGCAAATACAACTTTTGATATAAGTATACCAAAAATTTTACAGAAAGATTTAAACTCTATCGCCAACGATACATCACAAAAATTAGAAAATCCATGTGATTCTAATTTAGAGTTACCTTATAATTTGACAATAAATAATCAAAATGAATTAGTTAATAATGAAATTGTACATGGTTCAATTTCTGAAGTGCTTAGATGTTCAGCGGATAAAATAAAATGTATTAAAAATTTTCAAAATTTAAAAGATAATTGCATCGCTCTTGATAATATGACTGATCAAAACAATATCTTATTAAATGAAACCAACACAAATATAAACCATCATATATTAGGAAATACGCATTTAGAACTGCATCAAAATCAGGAAACATATAAAAATAAAACAAATAGCATGGAACCTCAAACAACAAATAATGTAACAAATAAAAAGCAAATTGAACAAATTAAAAATATTGAAAGTAATATAGAATTTGACGAAAGAATTGTTGATGGAATGAAAGAAAAAATTATTGAGTCTAATAACAGTGACTTATTATTAGGAGAAATAGCATCATTACCATCTATTAATAATTCAGTATTTGCTGATTTACCACCTTTAAATGGGAAAAAAGCCAATATCAATGACTTAAAGGAACTGATGGATTTAGGTACATCTTTTGATATCATATGATTATCTGAGGTTTTGAAATATTTGTATTATATGTTTCATAAAAGAAACTGTTTCTCAATATTTTTTTTTATTATAATTTGTTGAAATTTTATTTCTTATGTTTAACATGAAATTAATTTAAGTTATTACTTAATATTTTTAATTTAAATTAAAAAAATTTATTTCTAATTATTAATTTAAAATCTATTTTCTTAATGCTACATTATAATGTTCATAATGTTAGATTGAGATTTAAATGAATCTATTTAATTTAAAATTCTTTATATTACATCGATTTACCATAGCTCAAGGTGTATCTCAATACAAAGATGACTATACTTCATCTCTGTCCATCAGTACCAGTGAAGAAGGTCCTACAAATGTTTATATTAAATCAAAAAATTCATTAAGTATGCAAAAAAATAAACAAGCATTAACGCAAATCATACAAGGCGAAAATGAAAATGAAGAAATACATGAAGAAATATCAAACAGTACATCGTGTGTAAGTTATCATTTATATCGATATAAATTTATAATTAATAAAAAATTTAAAATTAATAAAAAATTAATTTTACAGTTCGATAATATAGTAAAAAATCATTCTGAAAATTTAGATCTTGAAAATATGAAATGAAAATATTAACACATATACAAATTTGATTTACAATGAAGAAAAATATTTGGAGAAGGTGGTCTTAAAAACTGTTGTGTTTTAGACTTGTATTTCATGATTTCATGAAAATATAATTTAATGAGTGCTTAAGCACATCCACATATACTTATCTAAAAGCATATAAGATATTTTTATATGTTTGTTACAGCTTAAACAGAAATCATAATGATAATGCCTTTGATTTTTAATTATCAATACACTTTACATGTTTTTTATCTTTTTTTTTTTTAAATTCTTTTCATACAGTGAAATTCTTTACATTGGCTTATTTGTATAAAATATTTATAAATCTTGATACTTATTGAACTGATTATAATCATTAGAATATATAACATTTTATCAATAATGAGATTTATAGTTCAAAATCATTTTATGATATTTAAATAATTCTATCATTGAATATTAAATTTTTTAAAAATAGAATTATGTGCATTTCAATTTTAAGAATTTTATACATTACTAATATTATCTCATGAAACATTTATAATTTTATTTATAATAATATTGTTTTCAAAATTATTAGAAATAGTTTTAATTTATCTATGTATATTTAAAATATATAAAAATATAATGAATTTGCTTAAACCTACATTTAATGTACTTATTGATAGTAATAAATTTGCTTCAAATTCTTAATTTCAAAATAGAATGTTAAATTTCAATAAAATGATTAAATGCTTCCAATAAAGATGTTTTATGTAAGAAGTTTTTTAGAATGTTTTAGTGGTGCTAAAAATTACAATAATTCTATTTTTTATATGTAATATAAAACAAAATTGATTGAGTTAATGAATTGAGTAACTATGGATATTTTTCTAAAAATTTTTTGTCTGAAAACAATTTTATTTAAAAAACTTATTGTATAACATTGACTAAATCCTACTTTCAAACTGCAAATGTATATATTTATCAAAATAAATAAAATTTAATAATAACATATTTGTGTATTTCTAATTATTTCATAGATATATAGGAATAGCATAAAATAAAAATGGATAATATTGATTTTTCTTACAAAAAATACTTGATGCATTTTCATAAATAAATTAAATATATAAACTCTAGTGATACATTTGTAGTATTAATTGAATGGATAAAGTTTGTACAAATTATATAAATGAAATAAATCGATTTGTCTGATAATATAATTCAATTTTAATAGGTATATTTTGCTAAAATAACATTAAAACAAGTAGCTAGTATTTTGAAATGTTGACTTTAATAAAATATATTATTATTGAAATGCTCTGAACAAAAATGTCGAGTTTTGGTAAGAACAAGATTATAAACAAGTTAAATATATGAATTTTGTACATTATATATATATATATATATATATATATATATATACTTTAATATAAATTTTGAAAGATATTAAAATAATTCTTGTTTTGCAATATTCATTAACAAATTATATTGTTATATCATGAATTTACTGAAAATGATTATATATTGGACAGCTAATATTTTAATTAAAGCTAATAATTTAATAAAACAGCACAATTTAAATTTTAATCAACTTCCTCATTAACAATAAAAATATATTTTCTTAAAAATATCTCAAAGACTAGAGCCATTCATTTCAAGTACATGTAATTTATTTACAATTGTTGTATAAATACATTTTTAAACATACATTGTTCCTTTACAATATCAAACAGTGCAATGAAAAATTTAGGCAAATTAAAAATCTTACTATTAATTATGAAATTAAACAAAATCTTTTAAAATTACAATTAAATCATTAATTATTTAAAAATATACCTGAAGATATTTTCTATCTTTGTATAAAATATCATTTCATAATATTTAACTAAAAAATAATTTCTATCTATTTTTCAATACGTTCTTTCTGTATTCGATTAGTATATGCTTTTAACACTATATTGTAGGAATCTAAGTATCGATCCATACACATTGCTACACATTTCTGTAATAATTTTGTAATTTAATTATAACAACTAATGATAAAAATTATTGAATGTAAAAAATTAAATCATAGCATTTGCAAAAATCAATTATTTAGATTCTACTCACCTGTTCTGAATTATCAAGACTTGTACCTGGTTTTTGAATACAAAATTTAAAACATTTATCTGTAATTTTCTAAAAAAAATAAATGATTCAGGTTTTATAACTCTTTATAGTGTTTTAGGGTATGATAATTAAATTAATTTTTTCAATTTTAAGTTAACAAATTTTTGTTTTTACCGATAACAATTCTTGAAAATTTGCTAAGGCAATTTCTTGTTTTATTTTTTCCATTAAATCATCTTTTTGACTACTTGTGAGGGGACTATCATCACCTAACGAATCCATTTGTAAAATCTGTTAGAACAGAATAAATTATAATTGATTATATATATATTTTTTTTTTTTAAAGAATAAAAAAATTTTTCTACTTTAAATACTGTATACAATTATCGATGCTTTTACAATACTTTAAGATTTATTCATTTTAATTAAATATTTCTTTCATATTTTAAATATATACAGTATTTAAAAATGAGTAAAAATTTTTAATAAAATCAAACATATTTAAAATAATTAGAAATGTTATTAAATATTTTTATGAATCGTAATAAATTTAAAAAATGTAACCTCTATATCCAAATTGGGATTTAAAAAATCAAACAAGTTAAAATGAAAATGAAAAAAATCAAGTAGCAAACAATGTAAAATTAATTAAACACGAGGTAACTACTATAAATTCCGGATTTTATTTTGCCTATACAATTTTTGCAACATTTTACTCAAAGATTAATCGTAGAAATTTTAATTCAAAATATTATGCTTAATGTTATTGAAATGCTATTAACTTGCGTATATTTGTTTCACTATTATTACTTTTTTCTGAACTTACATCAGAGCTTTATGCAATTTGCCGGTTTATTTCTATCTGAATTACACGCTGCTGGACAATATGTATAAAAACTTATTTATAAAAACTTATAAACGTAATTTTAAATTTTTCATACTTACAAATTTATTATTCCTATTCTAAAATTTTATATTTTTATAAAATTAAAGAATTTAATGCTGAATTAGGTTATCTTCGGCACATTTTTTTAAGTACTAAATATTGTATGTTCTGTAACAACCAATAATATCACTAGATAGCCAAATGCCGTAATAGAAAGTAGAAAAAAATTGTAATGTAATAGTCACATGAATAAGCTAAAAGATGCTAGGAATTGTAAATGTTGACATAAAGAAGTTTCAGAGAAATATATTATTTAGTTTACAATACAATGAGTGAAACTGTGAACCTTACGAAAATTTCTATTTTTCTATTTTATTTTAATTGCATTTTTGTATTTTAAGAAATTATAAACTTATTTATTGAAAAGAAACATTTATATAAAATACAATTTGTAAAGTTTAAACAAATTTCAAATATTATTAGGCGGCGACAATTTTCATTATCAGATTATTTAAAGAACATTGTAAAAAATTATATTAAAAATAATTACTTTAATAAATGATAAGAAAACATTATATAAGGTTGAAAATTAAGGTTGAACATTTCTTTTTTATATGTCAACAATTCAATCTGTTCAAATATAATTAAAAATAAAATTTAAATTAAGCAGATTGAGTAAGAAATATTTAAAAATTTATTCATGAATTCTAATGACAAGAAAACCCTTTTCATTTTAAATTTAATAACAAATAAACATTAAAAAATAACATAATTTCTAATTTTTTGGTTTAAAAGTATCGAAACATTAATAGAAAAAATAATAAAGTGATAATTGTTGGTGAGAACTTATTTTATTTTTGATTTAAAATTATGCAAAATACTATGCAATGTATATTTCAAGAAATTCTTAAATTATTGATTTAAAAAAAAAATCCTAAATTAGCGGAAAATAAGGACAAAAAAACAACTGAAAATATGTTTATCAATTTATTTGAAGATTTATGAGTAATTTTAATATAGTTCATATTTTAATCCAATATATAATTTGAAACATAAAAAGTACAAAAAAAATTTATATACAAATTCTTTTAGCTATTAATGAATATACTTTTACAGAATTTTGTTTTTAATTTAAAAAATTTTCCATTGAAAATATTTTGGATTGTAGATAATTTTTCAGTGATCCAACGCTATCATATTATTAAAAATTAATAAAAATGTGATATAGATGTATAAAAATATTTATAAATAATATCAGTTTAAAAAATGCAAATTTATTATTTATATGGTTGCTTTGAATTTTTATTATACAAAAACTGAAATAAGTTCAATACAACTAAGAATGATGCATAGAATTTCAAATATATTTAGTAATTAATTTTTCTAATTATTAATTGTACCAGCTGATAGACTCTCGGTATGAATTCTGTTACATAACGATATTACAACAGTGAAACATCCGGGAATTAAAATTGCATATTATATATAAATAATTTATACTACTACGTTTGTCATTTGAATTAATTTATATTATCAAAATAAAACTATAAGTATTCATTGCGCGTGCGTATATGTTTAAAGCTTTTTATACTATTTATAAAATGTATATAATATATAAAAAGTATAATAAATGAAAAATTTACTGTAACCGGATTCCATATCTTGCTTAATATTTATGATTTTTATGAATAAAAATTAAAAAAATATAATATCGACTTCATGTCAATAATTTTAAGTATAAATTATAATTTTGTATAGCTATTTTTACTTTTGAATAAATTAATCACTAATATTGTAATAATTTATTAAAATAATATATGAAAAACTTCTAACCCATAAGGATAAATGAGAATTATGCATCTTATTTTTTTATTGCGTCTGCGCGTGCGACGATCGCGTGTAGTGTAATCATTATATATTGTCTCAATAGTCGTAGAACATATCATTAAGTATAAAATTTCTTCATGTTCTAAAGTACATTAAAAATGAGTAACATCTTCAAACTTTTTGGAACTGTAAAAGGCAAGTTTTTTATTATTTGAAATATCTAACCCTTTTTTGTTTAACTTTTATACATTGTATGATATAATGACTTAAATTAACATTCTTACATAATATTTGATTAATTCAAGCAATAGGATATTATTTTATGCGTTGATTGATTTTACACTTTATATAATTATTTTTATCGGTTAAATTTAGAACAATATACTTGTATTGCATTATAATGAAAATTTAATTTAAAATGCAGCAATTTAGTAAGAAATTTATGAATATATAAAAATGTAAATTTTAAGTAATTATCGTAATTTTTTGAAAATGTAATTATTAATTAATTATATTATCCATAATAATTTACGTTAATAAAATAATTAAACTGAAATATATTTTAACTTTTAGATACTGCCAAAGCAGCTATTCCACATCTTCGGTTAATACAAAGATATGCTTTGGTCGAATTAGTTCCACCAAGTCCAAGAGATATTCCTGCTATTCGTTATGGGATAAATAAATTAATTGATAGTGCTAAATCTGGATCATTTAAACAGCTTACTGTCAAAGAAGCTTGGCTTAATACATTAGTAGCTGTTGAGATATATTGTTGGTTTTTTATAGGTGAATGCATTGGCAAGAGAAATCTTATTGGATATAAAGTTTAATATAAATAACAAATTCGATAGTTACTCATACGAACAATGTATAGATATCATTTAAAAAATTATTCACAAATAAAAAATATAAACATTTTATTATGAATTTTACTGAAATAATAAACATTTAATTTTATTTCAATGTAGCTTTTGAAATTTTCAATACTGTATTTGATGCTGTTTAATATATTCCCAAAAACAAATTGCACTCGTGACATGAACATTTAGCGATCGTGTTATACCAAATTGTGGTATTTGAATACACACATCTAGTAATGGTAAAATATTTGCAGGAATTCCATTTTTTTCATTTCTAGAATAAAAATTTTATTGAAAATCTTTCTTGAAACTCGATTAAATACTTACCCTAAAACAAGGACCGTTTGGTTTGGAAATTTGAAATTAATTAAATTCACACTATTAATTGTTTGCTCTGCTCCAATTAAAGTCCAATCACAATCTTTCATTTCCATTAAGTATTTGTCAAGTAAAAATGATTTCACCTAAAATTTTTAAATAATTCAAATTTTAAAAACAAAAATTATTTTAACGACTATTTTAAATAATATAATTAAAAAAATTCTGTCATCTTGAAGAAGTTTGAACCTCGATTATTTTTAGCCATTTATCAGATGATACACTTAATGTTTGAAATGCTTTATCCTCAATTTGCTTCAAATTAGAAATAACAAGCTCCTTTGCTCCAAATATTTCACACGTCCTTGCAATTCCACCTAAATTTTGTGATTTATCAACAAGAGAAGCAACAATTATCATTTTTTGCTTATTCTTTATTTTATTCTTTAAATCCGAGAAATTATCCATGTGCGTAAGTTCTTTATCATTAGGTAATGTTATTTTCCAAGGTATAATTTTTTTTTGAATATCAGTTGTGATTTGAGAACACTCAATCTCTTCTGGTTTAGTATTTTCACCTGTATATGTACTTATATTATTGAATAAGCATAACAATTATTTTAGTTAAATATAATAAATACTTACTAGACTTTTGGAATGAATAAGGAATTATTGCTTGATCTAATCTATTATCATCATTACTCATTTTTATATTAACAGCCATATTTAGAAAAATTTGATCTTTAAAATTTTCTTTTGATATCCATTCTTCAATACTGACATTAGACAATCGGGGTAAATGATGATATATTGTCTATTTAAAAATATTTCATTATTTTACATCTGTTAATAATAAATATCAAGAATTTTATTATTCAAGGTTTTATATATATTTACCTCTAAAGTATAGTGCTGTATTGGATTAAAAATTGTGTAAAAAAAATTTTCATCAACTTGAATAGAATTTTTTTGATAGTTAACACACTGTAAACTTTCCGAGATGGCTTTATATAAACTTAAATATTCTATACAGATGTCAGAATCTTCGCCTAATAATTTATATAGCTTAATAAAAAATATCTGAAAAAGTTTTAATTGTTAATATTAAGAAAAATTTAGAAACTTACACGAAACAAAATGTTCAAATACATACTTGACCAAATAAACGCACTCCAAACTGCTGTTTCATACAACAAATTCCTAACTTTGGTAATGCTATTTTAATGAATTCGATAAGTGCTTCTTTGGACAATTGTTGGGAAACATGCCAGATAATACCAATTATAGAATTTATACTGCTTGGACGTTCGTTACAAATCTATAAAAGTTTAATCTAATTATAATTTTAATTTATATACAAAAATGTTTTATTTCTATTTTTTTATATACCTTGTCAAAAAAGATCCATAAATTAGACAATAGATTTTGATTTGATAAATAAATTCGTATTAGTAACCATTCTTTCATTAAGCGTACACTATGCTGATCACTATCTTGAATTATCGAGTCACATAGTATATTATACAAAGATTCTATACACTTCTATTTAGTAATTAAAAAATATTATAATTTTTACTTATTAAGTGAAATAACATTTTAATAAATACCTTATTTAAATAAGGTTCCAACATCAATATAATTTGTAAGAGTCTATGTTTTAATTTATGCAACTGTGAATTAGCAAAATATCTTTTTTTTTCTACAGATAATAATTTTTTTATTACAATTGGTAAAAAGAAAGATGCATTTTCACTATTGTTATGTAGAGCATGATTAAGCTGTACAACTGCTGCAGCACGAATCATAACATCTACGTTACATTGCCTAATTTTACCAAGATGAATAATATAAATAAAAAATATATTAAAAATTAACATCACACTAAATTAGTTAAATACTAGGTAATTAATTTTATATAAAATTAACGTATTTAATTTTTGTATTATAAATAAAAGCATTAAATAGAAAATTTAAAATTTAAATAAAAGTTACTTATACAAAATTTTATCATTTTTTTTAAATAATATATTTCTAATAGCATTGTGAATAATATTTGGATTTTATATACCTATTGAGAAACTCATATGCTTCAAAGCTATCAATTTTTCCAATCTTTAATGCATAAGAATTTAGTGTTTGTTTCCCTATCATACATGTTTGCATATAAATTCTTTGATCACGACGCATTATCTGTCCATGAAGAAGTCCATTTAAAATTGCTTCCATAAAATATTTAAAATATTTACTTATTTCACTAGATGATAATACAATATACTTAAGACCTGGTAATGAATTTCCTTCACTTAACATTCGATCTGTGTACTGTAGAATATTAAAATATTCAATTATTTCCAATGATTTATTTAAACAAAGTAATAACAAACTGATACATGTATTCTAAATTCTTACTTCTTGCGAAACATCTTTGACTGATTCACAACTTAAAAATTCTGAACTATTTAAGCATTTACTTAATTTTTCAGCTACTATCCAAAACACTTTATCACGTTTACTGTTAAAATTACAGTTGCTAAAACTTTTTATCAGAGACTTCAAATTTTCTAATTTTGTTTCATTATTTAAGGTATTAGTAATGAAATATTGTAAAATATCTACAAAATAAATTAAAACTTGATTTCCTGCTGCGTCGAGAATAGAGGATATAATTTGAAGCCAATTATCATTTTGTTTTAGATTACGGATAGAGAGTGTTATTACATGATTTTTAATTAGTTTACTTAAGGCAACATAGTAATCTATTGCCATTTTACCTGTTAATTTATTTTTATAATTTTTAGACTTACATATTTTGAGCAAATTACAGATTCTTTCTATAAACAAATTATCATTGTAATTATAATAACTAGATATATTACTCCACAACTGTAGAGCAAATAATAGTCGTGTTTCATTGTGCTCATTAATATTACTAACAATTTGTATGCATTTTTGTTCTAAATCGTCATTGGTACTACTTGTAATAATAAAATGTAAAACTTTCATACAAATTTTAATGTCCTTGTAATCAAAATCATCCTTATGAAATAGTGTTAATATAAATCTAAATAATCTATCTTTATAATTGATAAACAGTTTATAAATAAGTGCCGGAAATTGAATATTTTGTAGATCAAATAAATTATAAAGGAAATCAATAATTTTAATGGTTAAAGAAACTTTAACGTATGGCCTGACAGTTATCTTATCTAAATAGAAAAGTAATTTTGTTAATTTTTGTATTGCAATACACTGTTCCGTTTGACAAATTATTCCTCCTTCATATAATAGCTGAATGACCAATGCAAATGTACACATCGGAATTTGTACATTTTCATCATTAACTATAAGCTTATCACATACTTCACTGATAAAGTTTACAACATTTGCATAAGGTGTCTTGGCTAGCCATGCTATCAATGAAGGCCAACAAGATGGCTCTTTTAAATCTTTTAAAGAAAATACAGTCAATAATTGAGATAAAATCATAAGATTATGAATTTTAGAGAAACGAAACAAAATTTTAATTATCATAATTTGAGACATGGATCTAAGCATCGATGGATGTAAATTTATGTTCGTTTCCATTATTAATTTTATAACATCTATCTGTTCTTGTCGTAACTTAACGATAAATTCTAATTTATCTGATGTAAGAAACAATGATCGCAATATATAGTAAATAGGTACAGGACCCCATGAAACTCCATGAAGAAAACATATAAATTTTTCTACCAAATGTAAGTTTTCACTTTGATAATGATTAAACCAGCTAGTCAATGCAGTAACGATATTTGGTTCAGTTTCGTGACCATATTTTTCATATAGAAATGTGTTGTTAAGAGCTTTTACTATTAATAGGATAAATTCATCATAATTATAAATTTCTGTATCCAATCTTAATAATTTTAATAGTCCCCATTTTATTACGGCATTATTATTATGCATTAAAATTCTTGCAAAAATGCAATGAATCCAACTGTAATCAAAGCAGTTTCCACAAGATTTATGCTCAAAATAACCTTGAATTAAATTATCTATAAATGGCAAACTTGGGATAACTAAATGCTTTTGTTTTTCCTCTAAGACTTCGATAATTAAAATGAACTCAGTTCTAATCTGTTTTATTGATAATTGAAGGGTTTTTGTCCGATCACAAATAAATGGTCTTGCATTAAACACAGTTAAATTTGGACTTGAATTTATAATATTTTGTTCATTTAGATTTATAAAGTCAATCAATTTTTGTAGAAGATGTAAAGCTTGTTTACGATTGCATGAATTAGGAGATAAAAGATTGCTTTTAATCATTGACCATAACTTATCAGAATAAATTAAGCTATAATCAATATCAACATTTAAACAGTTATTTGGAAATATACAATTACATAACACACATAAAATTGTCAAAGCACATTTTTTATCCAGGATTTCATGTATATACGGACTCAAAATTGCAGTATTTTTGGCAATATCGATCAATTTTGATAATACAGAATGTAACGCATGCCATTCGTGACTTTCATTACAGCGTATCCAACTTTTTAGATCATTTACTATTGATGATAATAATACATCTTTATAACATTCTAAAACCGTTATGTTTAACGTATGAAAATCTTTTTTATCGTTATTTAAAAAATAATATAAATCCCATGCGTTGAGAAAGCACTTTAGTATTTTCAAATACCAATTTGTTAAAGCATCATTGTCTGTTTGTGATTGAATAGAAATTTTGTTCGATTGAAAATTTTCAAATAACTTAATAAAATTTGATCGATCCTGTAACAGTACTAATTGAAGTACGACAATATCATAAAGAATAGATTGATTTTCTTTTTTCCTACACAATTTACTATGAATTAAACATTCTGTAAAATGATTTAACTGAGTATAACACCTAATAATATCATTACTATCTTCATAATTTAACTTGTACTGTTTACACAATAATAGCCTCAATAATTCCAAATATTTTTGTTTAGTATCGATATCATCTTTCAAACTTTCAAAGCAATCTTCTATAAATTTATTTTCAACGAAGCCAATACAATCACGCAAGGTAGATGTCTTTCCAATAATTTCAAAAGTTGGAAACTCTGTTACAGCTATACTCATAAAATATTGATGTAGTTCCATGTTAACAAATTGTCATATTATCAAATTAAGGGGTAAAATTTTGTAAATAATACATAATTTTTCCAATTATAAAATCTATAAATTTCAATAATATCTAGTACTATTGCTCAATCCAATATTTATGTAGGTATCTATAAATAATGAGAAAATAACACGTAATCAAAATTACGATTCAAAATAGTTTTTAAAAACACAAGGTGCATATACGTGTAATAATAAAAATAAAATAGGTAATTAAATATTTTATCGACAAAATAATAAATAAACAGCACACTTTCCTCTTTTATAACGTATATCCAAAAGCACGCATGCAAAAATTATAATTATTCATATGTGCAGGCAAATTTTTCGATATATAAATCCGTTTGCCGTAGCAGTGTATTGTCAACAGGTTCCCTGCGATAATTCCTTATGAGTTTACCCTAAATTTGCTCCATAGAATACAACGTGTGCGTGCGAATGCACATGTACGCTGTGCGCCCGCCGGGTTCCAATTTATGTCCAAAGTGCGTATAGCAGCCGCTGCAACACCGCACGAGAGATGCACGATAAAATAACTACTTGCGAACGCGATTAATCTTTGTTGAATGCGATATTACCTGCTTCAATTTCGTTTATACGATAGTTTATCAGAGGCAAGGAATCGTTATGGTCAAGTGATATTGCATCGGCTGTTTAGCGCGAGTTTGAAAATGGCCAAAAGTAAATTTGATTACGTTAAGGACTTCGAACATGAGGACAATTGTTTGCCTAACTGTTGGATTGTGGTTAGGGTTGATGGCAGAAATTTTTCGAAATTTGCAGAATCCCACCAATTTATCAAACCTAATGATCTCGCGGCACTTGAACTTATGAACCGCGCTGCGATATCCGTTATGGAGGATTTTCGAGAGATCGTGATCGCTTTTGGTCAAAGTGATGAATACTCCTTCGTTTTTCGTAAGGATACTCATCAATTTAAACGTAGAGGTATTATAATTTTTTTTTTTTTTTTATCATAACATATTACGTACATTTTTACACTTTTACATAATAAGCGTATAATAATATGTTTCTTTATTTGACAGCGTCCAAGCTCTTGTCTAATGTCAATTCACTATTTTCTTCCTCTTATGTTTACCACTGGCCTCGTTTCTTTAAAAATAGAGAACTTCATTATCCACCTTCCTTTGACGCAAGGGTTGTTTTATATCCTACTGATAAAAATTTGAGAGACTATTTAGCTTGGAGACAAGCTGATGTACACATTAATAATCTATACAATACGTGCTTTTGGAGTCTAGTATTAAAAAAGCATTTAACACCACAACAGGTATATTACAAATTTTTATTTATATAAATTCAAAATTATTTTTGTATTTATGATTTATTTTTTATATTTATATTTAAGGCTGAAGAAAGATTAAGTGGCACTTTAGCTTCGCACAAAAATGAATTACTTTTTCAAGAATTTGGTATTAATTACAATAACGAGCCTGCCATATACAGAAAAGGAACAACACTAGTGCGTAAACTAGTACCTAGTGGAATAGGTCGTTTGAAACCTATTGTTGTACCATTAGTCGATGACATTATTGGAGATCGTTTTTGGAAGGAAAATCCTGAAGTTATTGGTTTGAAAAGTTTAGGAACATACCAGTTACCTTTGAACAACATTCCTCTACCTATGGCAATTCCAAACTCCATTCATCAGCCTATGCCAATTAAATCATTGCATCCAGGAAATACTATTCAAACGTCTTCTATTGGTAATTGCTCACCAATGAAAAAAACA